ATGCGTCCGCTTCCATGCGGTCCGAAGCCACGCCCCCACTAATTTTTGCTTTTTAATTTTAAGTTTATTTTACAATAAATATATTTTTTACATATCAACACTTGGAAAACTTTTTATATAAGCACTTGGATTTTATTACTTTATTTCCTATTATTAGGAGTAAAGTGTTATAAATAAGGGCCACTTTATATAGCCTGTTAGTTATGTTCAATTCTCCGGTACAAGATACAATATTTCAATTATAAGGACCATATATATTGTTACATTGTACTATACCAAATAACTAATTCAGTATCCAGATCCCAGTTCATTAATAACTGGAGTGAACTGAATTAGCTTACAAACAAAGACTTTAAAAGACTATTATTCTATTTATTGCTATTATGATATAGCTTTTCATCAAACAGACTTTTATTAATTGGACTCTAACCTAATATTGGACATTGTTTTATTTTAACATTTTATTGCAATTTCTATTCACAAGCATTGCACAATTATCAGCCCTAAGGCATATACTACTCCTGGATACCTTATTAAATTTTATTTAATATTTTTTCTCCTACTATGACAGCTTTGCCAGGGACTTGAGGTTAACTAGGAATAAAGTTCAATATCCCTCCCCTTTAAAGGGAAAGAAATTATGTCACTGAATATTATGTTGTTGCAAGTATTTGTTTAGTTACTATTTAAACTGTACAGACTTTGATAAAACCACCACTTCAGGCAGAGAATTCCACATCCTTATTGTTTTGACTGTAAAACATCCTTTTATTTGCCTTAGACTAAATCTCCTGTCTTCCAGTCTAAATGAATTGTCTTCTGTTTATGAAAAGATTTCCAGACATTGGTTTCTTTCTTCTGAGGTGCCGTTTTTATAAACTAAACAGATTTAAATTTGTGAAAAGGACACTATAGGCACCCAGACCACTTCCGCTCATTTAAGTGGTCTAGGTACACTGTCAGAGTTTCCTTAACACTGCAATAGTAATTATTGCAGTTATTGAGAAACTGCAATAATTACTATGCAGGGTTAACCCCACTTCTACTGGCTATCAGACTAGAGGGACTTCCGGGTCGTTGAGCAACTTTTGGTCTCCTAACTGACGCTGGGCGTCCTCATGCAATGCATGAGGGCATCCAGCATCACCCAAAGCCCCATAGGAAAGCCCCATAGGAAAGCATTATATACTCGCCATGCATGAGCAAGATCAGGGAAGGAGGAGCCAAGACAGAGCCTGACCTAGCACCGAGAGACATCGGCGCTGGGTTCAGGTAAGTGACAAAAGGGTTCTGCACTGCGACGGGGTCACATGAGGAAGGGGGCTGCTATAGTGCTAAGTATGCAAGTTTATATTCCTAGTCTATAGTTTCCCTTTAACCTTTCTTCATAACTAAAATGTTCCATTCCTTTTATTCATTTTAGAGCCCACCTGCGCACTTTTTCTAGTACCACATTATTCTTTTTTTAGAACAGGAGACCAAAATTGCACACCATATTCAATGTGTGGTCTTACCATTGATTTATAAAGAGGCAAACTTATTTTCATCAAGAGAATTCATGCCCTTTTTATACTTGACAGTATGTTACTGGCCTTGGCAACTGCTAATTGACATTGCACATTGTTGCCTAGTGTGTGGTCTATAACAATTACCAAATCCTTTGCATGTATTGATATCCCTAATTCACTGGCGTTTAGGGTGCACCCCATGCGTTCCCTATTAAGGATTTATAACTGTGAAGGGATTTAGAAAAATACCCCTCTCCGTCTCATTACAGATTTTACCTTTTAGCCATGGGCGTAGGAACCGGGGGGGATGCATCCCCCCCAGCAAATCATGCGGGGGGGGGAGAGACAGGTTATGGGGAAATACCCCCCAGCCCCGCCACTCCCCCCACACCCCCCATGCTGCAGCCACCCGAGCGCTCTGTAGAGAGCCTCAGGCGGCTGCAGCTTTGCCCGGGCGGTGGCCGAGCCCAGTATAGCGTGGCCGAGCCCAGTATAGGTCGCGGGTACATTGAGCATCTGTCTCCTGTACCCAGCCGGACTAACAGGAAGTGCACACTGAGTGTGCACTTCCTGTTAGTCCGGCCGGGTACAGGAAAGAAAAGCTCCCTGAACCCGCGGACTATACTGGGCTCGGCCACGCTACAACTGAGGTGGACGGGGGAGGGGGAGAAAGAGAGTGACGAGGGAGGGAGGGGGAGAAAGAGAGTGACGAGGGAGGGAGGGGGAGAAAGAGAGTGACGAGGGAGGGAGGGGGAGAAAGAGAGTGACGAGGGAGGGACGGGGAGAAACAGAGTGACGAGGGAGGGAGGGATTGACATCCATCACACACACTCAATGCACCCCTTACAGACGCACATGCTGCATCCCGTACACACATATCAGGACATCCCCTACACACTCCACCCCCTGTGAACAAACTCATTGGTGGAACATGAAGGTGGACCCTGGGACCCAGACCTTGAGCTGTGTAAAGGGCCCCCAAAAATGGAACTGCTTCCCATTCTCCCAGAACATTGATTTTTGTGACCACAGTTACAAACAGCCTCCAGAGAGCCTGTTCTATACCAGACCAGTGGAGCCAGACTGCAGCTAGAGCCCGTCATCATCCTCATCTGGTTGTAAGTAGGCAATCTAGCATATTATTCGTTGCACTAATCTCTAATTTACATGGAAAGGGGTTCTAATATAAATGGAAGGGGTAGAGACGGGTGGTAAAATGTATGGAATGCATTTCTGAAAGTGTCACTGAATGGCAGTTAGGAAATGTGGTCACCCTAAGTCAGGGGCAGTATTACACAATCTGTATATGTATAAAAAAATATAAAAAGTAATCTGCAAAGTACAAAATGTTTGTGTCATATGTCGTGCTAAAAATTAAGCTAGGAATGTGCATATTTTTTTATTTTTTTAAAATAATTTTTAGAATAATGATAGACATTTTATTTCTTACATTTGTGATGATTATTTTTTCCTCTCTATATTCAAGGGACACTATAGTCACCAGAACCACAACAGCTAAACGTAGTAGTTCTGGTGTCTATAGCATGTCTTTGCAGGCTTTTTAATGTAAGCACAGCCATTTTGTAAAAAGGCAGTATTTACATTACTGATGAGGAATACCTCCAGTGGACACTCAGATGGCCACTAGAGGTGCTTCCTAGTCGAGACATGACTGCCACCCTATGAAGTATCTGCGCATGTGCGGCAAAGCTGCGCATGTGCACCAGAGAGCAATGACGCTTCTGAATAGAAGCGTTTTATTGCTCCCTGTTCGTACCCTCCTATTTTGTTATTTTGACGAAATAGGGGGCGCAGCATCAGGAGGATCCCGGCGCTGTATCCAGGTAAGTAAAATCCCTTCCCTGTAGTGACCCTTTAAAGTTATTATTTAATCATTTACATAGCAACTGCAAATTCCGTAGCACTGTGCAATGGGATAAACAACTCATAGTTTACGGAATAAGAATATACCCGGCGAGTAAAAATGCTATCCCCCCCCCAGATTTTTTTGGGTTCCTACCCCCATGCTTTTAGCTGAAAACAGCAAGTTGAAATAGGTTTTGCCTTTATATGGCCGGTGAGGATACACTTGTATGACCATTCGAGTGATACTAACAAACGTGCGTAGGGATTAGGGATAGTGTGCAAGTAAAAAAATAATAATAATTAATTGGATTTTAATGTATGTACTGGGGCTGATGTGTACTATAGTCAGTTTATTGTTTTTCCATATGAGGCAGAGCCAGCAATTCAGCTAATTGTATTTTTTTTAATGCTGTCATCTTTTTAAGGTTAGTTAAGTGTATAAAATAATACTTTTGCCTTATGTATTACATGAGAAGAGGATCAGACAGGAAGATCAGATTTGGGAAGATTAAGAGAAGAAAAATCAATGAGGTAAGTTTGGCATGACAGAGCCACTTTTAATTTAAAATTCACTTTGATTTTCCAACAATTCTCACTTTACAGAATAACCCTGTATGTTTCTATTACTCCTCTTCATTTACAACAAGCATGTCAAACTCACAGCCCACAATGAACATCTTTGCGAGCTGCAAGTACATGCTTAGTGTTAATGCATGTAGGCACCTGCTTTCTCCACATTGCTGGTGCCTACTCTGCTAAAGTTTACCTGGCTGGGGAGGAGAGATCGCTGGTGGCAGCGAGGGAGCTCGGTCTACCTGCTCCTCACTGCTTCCGCGCGTGGTGCCAGAATATGATGTTTTATTCCGGAACCTGGCATCACTAAACTGCGCGCGTGAGGGAGCAGGAAGGAGATTTCCAGATAGAAGATCTCCACTGGACCCGAGGGAGAGGCCCCACACTAGTTCCCAAAGGTAGAGAGCAATAAATAAAATGATTTCTGTGTGCAAGAATGTGTAAATATGTGTGTGTCTGTCAGTGAATGAGTGTGTGTCTATCTGTCAGTGAGTGTGTGTGTCTGTGTCGGTCAATGTTGCGATGGCGGTGGCTGGACAGTGGAGGACCTGGAGCTGCATGGAGGCACGCAATGCAATGCCTCCAATGTGATGTCGACGTGCTCCACCTCCACAGGGTTTCAAGAAGTAGTGGAGGATCCGCTTTGGCACAAGGTGCGGATGGCGCATACTGGCAGCGGCAATTGTTGGCTAGAGGAGGGTGTTGGGATTTGGTAAATGGGGGGACTGGGATTTAGTATATTGCAGGGAGGAAGATTTAATAGAGGGGGAGGACTGGGATTTAGTAGAGGGGGTGCTGTGGTTTAGTAGAGGGGGATGCTAGTTGTTTTTTTTTTTATAATGTACTTTTCAAAATAAATCTTCGTTTCTATGAAAATGTAAGGTTTTGTTTTTTCCCACATAAACTTGAACCTTATTTATTTGATCCGTGCTAGACTTTGCGTTTGACATGCTTGATTTACAATGTTTACCCTGGCATTGCCTTGTCTGCACTGAAGGGTGATGTCATTTGTTAAAAATGTAATAGCAATGTAAAAGAAACACACGTTATAACTATTTTTCAATGTTTATTTCGTAGTGTAAATTCCAAAGAAGATTGTGCATGTGAAACAGGTTAATACAATTTATCGGACATAGGATTTTCAATGTTTTATTCAGTGTTCTAATTTCTAGAAAAGTGAAGGTTCCCCTTTAAAAGTTGTGGCATCCCAGGTTAGATAGCCATGCAAGGAACATTGATCATTTCCTAGACAAATATTTTTCAAGCTTTTAATATTAACTACCAATGTGAAATGCATTTTCCACAAGTGCCCTTACTAATATAATTGTATTTTTAATTATGTCTACACCTCTAACAGCAACTGTCTGATACAATACACCTTTAGCTACTGAAAGCATACACTGGCAAGGTTTTTGGTAATACCCAAAATAGTACTCCTCTCCCACACATAGAAAAACTGTGTTAAAGGTTTACTTCAACCACCATAACCATTTCAGGGATATAAAGTGTTCATGGTCGTAGGCGTCGAGTATGTACAATATTTCAGCTTAAAACACTGCACATATCAAGATATTTGGAATTCTGTGCTGAGGGCTAGTTGCACCCCCAGCACAAGTTACAATAGCCGCCAAGAACCCCGGGCAGTTCCTGGCTGCTAATTTTCATTCTGTCCATAAAGTAATGGGAGAAATCCTCCCTCCCTTCTCCTTCACTCCCCCTTCTCTTGTGAGCCTGGAGAGCTTGCATGCATTCTGAGCTGGCGAATTGCTCCACGCAAGGCCCCTGTGAAGAAGGGGGCACATATGTCCATGCCAGGAGCTTCACCCAATGCTATATTCCAGGTAAATAAAATTACATATTTTGCAGGTTATTCTCGAAATCGAGGGGGGAGCTTGCTCCATAGTGCCCAACAGGGCAATTTACACAGGAAAGATCCTTTCTACTCAAAATGGTTAGAGTAATCCTTTAACCCCAGACAGACCGTTTTTCAATTTTCTTATCGTTAAGGACCAAGGCTCTTTTTACATTTCTGCGGTATTTGTGTTTAGCTGTAATTTTCCTCTTACTCATTTACCTTACCCACACATATTATACACAGTTCTTCTCGCCATTAAATGGTCTTTATGAAGATACCATTATTTTCATCATATCTTATAATTTACTATAAAAAAATAAAATAAAATATGATGAAAAAATGAAAAAAACTTTTTCGAACTTTGACCCCCAAAATCTGTTACGCATCTACACCCATACTAAATAGTTTCTAAATTTTGTCCTAAGTTTAGAAATGCCCAATGTTAACATGTTCTTAGCTTTTTTTGGAAAGTTATAGGGCAAGTAACACGTTGCTATTTCCAAACCATTTTTTTTTTCAAAGTTAATGCAAGTTACATTGTAACACTGATATCTCTCAGGAATCCCTGAATAACCCTTCACATGTACATATTTTTAAAAAGAAAAGAAAATAATTGGTGATTTTTTTTTGACACATAGCAATTTTAAAATACATATACGGAGAACTTTAAGGGTTACTGCCAACGAATACCCCAATATGTGTTCAGCAACATCTCCTGAGTACAGCGATACCACCCATGTATAGGTGTGTCTGGTTCTCTTGGGGCTAAAAGAACTTATTTGGAGGGTGCACATTCCAGTTTTCCAACTTGGAATTTTCACAGCTGGTCATCATGCACCCATGTCCCATTTGGGACATTTTTGAAGCCAGCCAATTTAATTTACCCCCCCATCAAACCATATTTTTTTGAAAAGTAGACACCCTAGGGTATTTCAAATGGTTGTATTTTAACACTTTCCATGCAATAATTCTACCACCAGTCTTTGTCAAACTTTTGGGTAGTCACTTTTTTGGTATTTTTCACACACATTGTACTTTAGGCATGGATTCTCAGCTTCTGTTATGTATTACTGCCAAAGAACACCACAATATGTGTTCAGCAACATCTCCTGAATACAGTGATACCACCCATGTATAGGTGTGGCGGGTTCTCTGTGGGCTTAGAGGGTTCACATTCCAGTTTTCCAACTGGTCATCATGCACCCATGTCCCATTTGGGACATTTTTGAATGTAATTTACCCCCATCAAACCATATATTTTTGATAGACACCCAAGGGTATTTCAAATGGTGGTCTTTTAACACTTTCCATGCACTCATTTTTGAAAAGTAGATATATGTCTACTTTATGTACATATATGTCAATATGTGTTCAGCAACATCTCGAGAGTACAACAGTGCCCCCAATGTACAGGTTTTATAGGTTTTTGCAAACTTACAGGGGGTCAAATGTAGGGTTTTCCCCTTTTCCATGTTTACACATTGAAATTTGCCAGATTGGTTTGCTGAGCCTATGTTGCCTTTGAGACCGTATAGCAGCCCAGGAACGTGAAATAACCCCATCATGGCATACCATTTTCAAATGTAGACAACCCCGGGTATTCCGAATAAGGCATTTCCAGTCCTTTGTAGTAGCCAATTAGTCATAAACGCTGGCCAAAGTTAGCATTTTTATTTGTTTTTTTTATAAATGTCCCCCCCCTCCCAATTTAGATTATATATAATACGTGTGTGTGTGTGTATGTATGTATGTGTATATATATTTCCTGGCCATATCCATGGCAGTACAACGATGGGTAGCTCCTCCCTATCCCTAATTAGACAGAAACTAATTAAAATAAATGTATAAGTACCTCCTCCTATCCCCTCCTCCCTCAGTCTTTTTTTTCCTGTCCTATCCCTATAGGACATGTGTTTTTTCCTTGGAACTACTATTTTTCTTTTATGGCTTACCTGGGGATTTGTTCCCCTGGGCCCTTGGGAGTTCAGCCTCTCTCCCTTGAGAAGTCTCCAGTTACACGGCCTTGCGCAAAGGTGACCCGGGGGTCTGGTACTTGCGGTAACCCAAGGGGTAGCAAGCTGTTCTGCCTGGTTCCCTAATGCTACAGTGACCCTAGGGGTAGCAGTGGGCAGGTGAATATGGACCTGGACGTGTACCTTGCTGGTCTTGACTTCTCCCTGTTTCCGACTTCCCTCTGCCTTTTCCGCCGTTCTTCTGAAGGGGTAAGTCCCTGTGGTTTCTTTCATTTTCACTTGGCGTTTGTTTTTTTGAATGCACATGCGTTCGTATGGTTTGCTGATTGGTTTTGTGCTTTTAACCGTTCGCCTGAAATTTGAGCTGTTCGTATGAATTTTAGCCATTCGCATAAATTCTGGTGAATTTTGTTCACATGAATGGCTCATTCGTCTGATCATTCGCCTGATTCACACAGGTGAAAGCTCTGTGTTTGACGTCAGATGCCTATTTAACAGCCCCCTGGTTCTCACACTTGTGGGAATCGTTCTGGCGATTGCTGCATTGCTTCCTCCTATCTCCTGCTGGATTTTCGTTTCGTCTGCTTTTCATTAAGGTAAATGTCTTTTTATTTTTTAAGGTGGTATTCTTAAATTTGTTCTGAATTTCAATTTGAGATTCTTTCTTGCATTTGGTTCTGCAGATGGATATGGAAGTCTCATATTCCTCTGATTCTGATTCTTTCCCACTTCACAAAAGGTCACAATCTAAGTCTTATAGGTAAGCCATGTTTTTTCTGGTTTGTTTTATTTAAAAGAGTGCAGATCACTCACACACTGTTCTGTCCCTATTTCTGCAGTTCTAAGGGGACTAGAGCTTCAGTGTTGTCCAAAGGGAAGTCGCCCAAAAGGACACAGTGTGAATCCTGTGATAACAGAGCCCTGGAGGGGAAACGTCTCTGTTTTTCTTGTCTATTTGTGACTGCAGGCCCATCTCAAAGGCAGTCCTCCATCCAACCTGCGTCTGACATAATGCAGTCTATTTCACAAGCAGGCGCTCTGGGCATTCAGGAAGCTGGGAAGTCCTGCAAGCGACCAAGGTGTCTGGAACCTTCGGAATCTCCTGACGTCTCTGATGTGGAGTGTATGACTATGGAATCCCTAAGAGATCTGGGTTGTTCTTCTGAGGATGAGGTGCTTCCAGCTCCAGATTTCCTGTAACCTGCTGAAATTAACCATTTGATATCCAGGGTCCGCAAGACTCTGTTTGAAGGAACCTTCTAAGGATGAGCCTTCCACATCCAGTCGCCACTTCTCTGACCTCAGGAGGAAGAGGGCGGCTTTTAAAACTATAAAAGACCTCATCAAGGAGGAATGGTCCAGATTGGACAGAAAATCCTCTGCAAAAGGAAGATTTTCCAGACTGTATCCTTTAGAGGACGCTGAAGCGTGGGATTTGGCTCCCAAGGTGGATGCGGCCGTGGTTAGATTGGCCAAACGTACCACTTTGCCTGTTGATGATGCGGGTTCCTTCAAAGACCATATGGACAGAAAGATGGACTTCAGTCTTTCCAAAGCATATGTACCTCTTATGTCAGTATCCAGGGCGTTTGGATGGAGAATTTGGAGGAGGATATTAAGAACAGCAGGAGCCGTCCCTCCATACTGGACAACCTGAAGGATCTGAAATTGGCTGTTGACTTCTCATCTGAGGCTGCGGTGGATCTGGTGAGGTCCTTAGCCAGAAATATGGCTCTTTCAGTTTTGGCCAGGAGAGCGCTATGGCTCAGATCATGATCTGCTGATGCCTCCTCGAAAGGCAGCTTGTGCTCCCTTCCTTTTCATAGCAACATGTTGTTATTTGGCAAGAATCTGGATAATTGTATTAAACGAGCAGCCGAAGGTAAGGAATTCTGCCTCAAGACAGGCCCAAAGCTTCCTTTCGTGCAAAAAGGCACTATTACCTGTTTCGTAATAGCAGATCCTACAGACCGTGTAAGGAATATGGGAGAAATCAGTCCTGGAGGAGCGGTCAACATGGTGCTAGAGGAAGCAAGTCCCGAGATTCCGCACCCTCCCAAAACCCCAGGAATCTGTGACAGGCTCATCTCCCTGTCAGGCGGTGTTGGAGTTCGTTTGCTACAATTCCGTGTGGCATGGGAGGAATCTGTAAGAGACAACTGGGTTCTGGATATCATCAGAAGGGGATATCTTCTAGAATTTTGCAAACACCTTCCTTCCAGTTCCTTCCAAATCACAAAGTGGCTGGGAGACAAAGTAAAAAGAATTGCTCTCCAGGTCTTCACTTGTTCTATACAAAAAGGAGTAATTGTATCAGTCCCGGAGTCAGAAAGGACTCACAGCTTCTATTCACACCTATTTCTGACCGAAAAGTCCTCAGGAGGGTGGAGACCCATCCTAAATTTACACAGACTGAATCGATACTAGTATATACCCAGATTCAAGATGGAGTCCCTTCAATCTATAGTGAAGGCTGTCTTTCCCAATCAGTAGGTGTTATCAACAGACTTGTTGGATGCCTATTTCCACATCCCTATAGCCCTGGCGCATCAGAAATACCTGAGGTTCGCAGTAGGGGATGCTCATTTCCAATTCAGGGCCTTGCCCTTTGGTCTCAGCACGGCTCCAAGGACCTTCACGAAGTGCTTGTTGTTCTCATCGCAGAACTGTGAAAACAGGGCATATCCATCTTTCATTACCTGGACAACATACTGATCGTGGTGGACGACAAGGATTCTTTGTCCTCCCATGCAACTGTTTGCCTTCAGTTCCTACAATGTCACGGTTGGAGGATCAATGTCAAAAAGAGCCATCTCTGCCCGAGTCAGTCCATGACATACCTGGGTGCTCTGTTCGACACCTTCACGGGGACGGTTCAACTCTCGCCAGAGAGGATCCCGAGAATACAGAAACAGGTTGTGGAGATGTTGGCATGCAAGGTGACTTTAGCAAAGAAGGCGATGAGTCTCCTGGGTTCCATGTCCTCCACGATAGGACTGACAAGATGGGCACAATGGAGAATGAGGAGTTTTCAGGCGAACTTCCTCTTCCAATTCTCCTCAAAGAGTCTACTCCAGCCCATCAAGATTCCGTTGTCAGTTCACAATTCCCTGGTTTGGTGGCTGAACAATGTCTCCTTAGCCAAGGCTTCCCTCTGGGAGACGTTCCATGGATAGTAATAACGACGGTTGCCAGCCATTGGGGTTGGGGAGCCCATTGACAACGCGTCTTTGGGCAGGAGTGGAAGTGTGTGTGTGTGTGTGTGTGTATATGTATGTATGTATATATGTATATATATGTATATATATATATATATGTATATATATATATATGTATATATATATATATATGTATGTATGTATGTATATGTATATATACACACATATACATATATATATATATATATATATATATATATATTTATATTATTTTATATATTATATATATATATAGTATATATATATATATATATATATATATATATATATATATATATATATATATATATATATATATATATATATATATACACACATATACATATATATATAGATTTTGCTTCCCAAGCACTACCAAGCCTCAATTAGCAAACCAGTAACCAACCTCATGCTGAAGAGTTGCATTAACAACGAAACAGCTGTCCATGAGTGGTTCACTGGTTTTGCATCTTATCCTAAATTGTGTTCCAAGCAGTTGTATACTGCAAACACAAATTAAAAGGAATCCATGTTTAAAATGGAATGAGGCAAAAATGTGATTCTTTGTTAAACTAATTTGCATATGCCCACCCAGAATCCTTTGCGGTTGTAACATCACTGCTGATTTGGGATTTCTGTGGGAAAAGCAAGTCTTATGGCTTGACTGGTGTGCAGATTTTTGTTTAGCATTGTATTAACTATCCACATACTTCAGGTGGAAGAGGTTTTCAATCACAATTTTTCCCCACCATAACTTAATTGAATTTTGCTATATATATATATATATATATATATATATATATATATATATATATTTTTTTTTTTTTTTTTTTGGTTTGTTTATTACCTTTAATTTATTTTATTAACTTTTTTTATTTTTTATTTGTTCAGGCAGTCCCCCTGCTGGCAGCACTTTGGACACCTATGGTGGCCACGTGACTGCTCTTTTAGAGCGGTCACACGGCCCCCGGGGGTCCTAAACTGGAGAAGGGTGACTCTCTGGGCTCAGCCCAGAGAGTCACCCCCCTCCAAAAAAGAAGACTGATTGCCGGTGGGGGAACGGCAGCGATCAGTAAGTACATGGGGAGGGAGGGTAAGGGTTAAATTTTTTATTATTTAATAATTTATTTTTTCCCCTGCATATTTACTTACTGCCTTGATTCCTCAAGGCACTCAGTAGAGATAAAGCATCAGAAGCCGGCCTGATACGTCCTCGGTCACTAAGAGGTTAAGGAACAATTTAAGCTAAGATCTAACCTTTTAAGAGTTAATAAGTGTGTAGGGGTTTAGAAAAATACTCCTCTTTGTCTCATTAGAGGTTTTGCCTTTTATCACAAAGGTGAAGCGTCCGTGTGGGATTCAAGAGGTTTGCCTTGATGTCCCAGGTGACCTTACACTTTAATGGCCATTGGAGTTATACTAAAAAGGCAACTTTTTTTGTTATTTGCCAGTAGTAGTGGTAATTTGAGCGCAGGGATTAATTTTGTATGATTGTCATGAATCCTGCAATCCTACTACAAAAGGCACACGTCAGTACAAAGGAATCTAATACAAAAGTGTTAAAAACACACATCTATTATCCCTGAACTCAAACTCCCACTACTTGTAGGTGGCTGACCCCAAATATATATATATATATATATATATTTATTTTAAATCACAAACCTAAATTCCAATGTACACATTTATAGAACAGCTTTTTAATACCATAGGCATAAAGAGTAAGTTTACCTGCCACTGTGAACAGAAATCTAAGTTAATACTGTGCTACTAGTTACCTGAGGTTTTGAGTTCAAAGCGGACAGCGCAAGTATAATCGTAAAATTCAATGAATAGGTTTGTTTGACATTGCTAGAATGAGCTTGCACCTTACTGCCATGAAACTGGTACTAAAAGCATACATATGTACATAATTGCAGACTAAAGATTATGGTCTCTGCAGTTGCACAGGAGTGATGGGAGAATAAGTACAGCACTAGTGTATGCTCTCATAACTGCAAAATGTAAATCTAACCACACAGTTGTGTTTTCAGAGGGTCCAGAACCACCCTTCAATTTTATTTTTATTAATACAAAAAATGCATGTCTGTACAGACTTATGTAGGAGTATATATACAAAAAGCACTGTGTCTCATTTAAGCAAACTCACTACACACACATATATGGGAGGAGCAGAAAGGAATTAGAAAGAATACTGAGGAGGGAGATAAACTACTGAGGAAGCAGGCAGATCAGCAACTGTATATGAAACTAAAGGTGGGTCTGATGAGATATTAATGGTAGATCTGTGTTAGTAGCTAGAGATGGGTCTGGAGACTGTGTGAGTACTAGAGTTAGGTGTTAGAAACTAAAGGCAGATCTGGCGATTATGTGAAGGGCAAGATGTGTGTCTAGGGGGTGCACGGCTTGAGGTAGGTCTGGAGGGTGTGTGAGGGCTTGAGCTTTTTTTGTGTGGTGGTGTGAGGGTTAGATTTGGGACAAATTGTGGGGTACAAGGTAGATCTAGACTAGAGCTATACCGTGATACTGTGTAAAGAGTTTAGTGTAGATCTGATCTTTGTAAAGGGAAAGGTGCAGACCTAACGCAGGAGTGGAGGTTATAATTGATTGTGTAAGTTTGCTAGAGATTAATCTAAAGGCTATGCGACTGGCTTGAGATGGGCCTGGGGTTACATGTGCTGCTAAAGTTTGAGGGTCTCTAGAGTCTTATAGGCATCAAAATAACATTAGCTGAATTAAGAAGTTTTTGTGTATAGGTCATTTCCCTGCAGTCTCACTGCTCAATTCTCTGCCATTTAGAAGTTAAATCACTATTGTTTCTGTTTATGCAGCCCTAGCCACACCTCCCCTAGCTGTGACTGACACAGCCTGCATTAAAAAAAGGCTTCATTTTTAATCTGATGTTAACTTACTTTAGAAGTTTTATATCCTGCTCTGCCAATTTTACTTTAATCACACGCAAGGCTCCTGCATGGTCTAACAAGGCTATTAAAGAAGGAGATAAGAAATTCTAAATTGTAAACAATGTTTAATAGAGGACATTTAAACATAAGATCTCTGTTTATAAAGCTGTTTATGTCATATAAGGGAGTGACAAGGGCAGCATAAACAGTAATTTAAGTTCTAAATGGCAGAGAATTGAGCAGTGAAACTGCAGAGGCATGAGATTATCTATCTATCTATCCATCTATCGATCTCAAAACTGCATAATTAAGCTAGAGTTGTTTTGGTGCCTATAATGGGGACACTGATCTCAGTGCAAAATAAAGCAGGTTTCAGACGGTGAGTTAGTTATGTGGCTGTAAAATAAAAATAGCCGGTAATTTAAAATACAACAGGTGAAAATGAAGTCAAGAAACTGGTAGCGAGGTGAAACAGGGAGAACAGGGGCTGATGGAGAAATACTACAAGTAGAGTAAGGGCTAATATAAAGTCAGATATTAGTCTGTTAGAAGATAAAATGACCATTACCAATTTATTCTTGCAGAAATCTCATGAGTGTGATGAGAGATTTTATTTTACATAAGAATCTCTGTGGGACCTTGAGACTAGTTTTTATTATTTAGTAGGATAAGAAAAATGACTCGTAGACTATGCTTACTTGTTGAGATTAAGGTTGTTGTTAAATCTGGGGAACTGGATTAACCCAGCTTTGCTGGATGCTTGAAAAGATTCAGGAGTATTTTGGGCTGTGCAGTGTGCTACGATAAAATGAAACCGAATGATGAATAATGCATTTCTGTAGATTTAATTAGGTTTATTCAGCATACTGAAAATTTAGGATAATTAACAAGAGAACAGTAAATGTTAAGCTGAAAAAGCAAAGATGAAATCATACACCAACTCTGTTATTTTCTCATTTGTGTATTTTAACCCAGAATTTGCTATTTCCTTTCTAGATTTTAATTTTAGTGGATAAACCAAAATGTGATGATTATTATTTTACCAGAATAAAATTGTTGACGGGTTTAGTGCCTACCTACTTAAGGGGACACTATAGTCACCAATACAACTTTAGCTTAATGAAGCAGTGTTGGTGTATAGATCATGCCTCTGCAGTCTCACTGCTCAATTCTCTGCCATTTAGGAGTTAAATTACTTTGTTTATGAACCACTGTCACACCTCCCTGCATGTGACTTGCACAGCCTCCCCAAACACTTCCTGTAAAAAGTAATCTACCGTTTATCCGTCCTTCATTCCAAGTTCTGTATAATTTAGGTTTTCTCATCCCCTGCTATGTTTATAGCTTGCTAGACCCAGCAATAGCCTCCTGTAAGTGATTAAAGTTCAATTTACAGGGAAAGAGATACAATTGTTTAAGGTAAATTACATCTGATTAAAAGTGAAACCAGTTTTTTTTTTTTTTTCATGCAGGCTGTGTCAATCAGAGCCATGGAGGTGTGACAAGGGCTGCATAAACAGAAACAAAGTGATTTAACTCCTAAAAGGCAATGAATTGAGCAGTGAAACCTGAGGGGCATGATGTACACACAAAAACTGCTTAATTCAGCTAAAGTTGTTTAGGTGACTATAATGTTACTTTAATATACTTTTAAGAAATTTAAGTATGTAGTTTAAGTATGTAATTCCAAAATGAAGAAGAGAAAAAAATTAAGTTTCCCACCCTCCGATATTAAAGAAACACTCCAAGGACCATAATCACTACAGCTTGATGTCCTGTTTATGGTGCTGGAGTGACCTGGCACTCTCCCAGAGTAGTCAAAGTTTTTAAGCTAAAGTTGTTTTAGTGACTATAGTATTCCTTTAAACAGCAAGTGGTCAATTGTACCAACTACCACTCATGAATTTGAACGAGCCTTTTGGCTATATATAGGCTTGGCTTACATGTTGAACACTAGAGATTATGAGTTTATTCATTAAGACTAGAAGTAACAAATTGCACATTTTGGAACACATAGCTGAATTAGAGAACATTTCTAATACGGCTACTTTTTTTTTAAACCAGGCTATTTTAGCATAAATTTGCAATTTGTTCGTAAAACATGGTGTGTAAACAAATCCCTGTGTATATGACTTGTTTACTGAGTATCTGTATTGATTGGCATATATTAGAGGACCTGTGAAATCCTTCATTACGAAGCTCTACAAGGGAAGAAAGGATGTCCCCAGTCTAATCCTGGCTCATTAGGAGGAACATGTCATTTCATTCTGTATGAAGCAACGGGTAGGTTTTTCTTGGAGAAACAGCTTGTTTAAAACATAACATTCTTGGGCCCTCTGGGACCAGAAAAACTGCTTGTTTTAAATAGTGCATCCTTGGGCCCTCTGAGACCAGCATTTAAATTGAAGCTGGACATTGATGATATTGGGAAATAAGGGTTTACAAAGGTAAGTGCAATCGCATATACTTTTTTTTCTCCATAAATATATTAACTACAGCCTGAGATAGGAGGTGGCGTTATTGGATCATATGTGAGATATATAAGCATTGATGTGTGATTCTACATTTATAATTGGGGATCAATTAATGGAACTCAATGTTTAAATTTCATTAATACTTGCATTAAAATAGCGAATTGAGCTGAGATTTATAATGTCTGATATCTGCTGCAACTATATTCCTAGTCCTGCTTGTTGTATGCCGATGATATATTACATTTTAATATTGCTTAAGAGTAATGCAGTGTTGTAACTCTTTGGTGTATTTGTTTATTGGCGTTCCGCACATTGGTATATTCCAGGTCAGGGACAGAAAGAGGCGATTGAAGAGAGTTTAAATTTAATTAAAGATTGCATATCAGGTGCCTTAATGCCATACTTGCTGGACTCCAGGACGCTTGCCTATCTGATAAGAGCCACAGGTGTCAATTTTATAAACATACAGTGTTTCATCGTGGCTGGGGCAATTGTTTTTTCGTATTTTACTAGAACCTATAGAACATATATGCTTCAAGCCCACACTCCAATCAATACTTCCTGTGGGATGCATCTTTAAAATAAATACAATAAAAAATATCCCTAAGTAAAGGGATATTTCATGCACTAATAACCTATATTCCTTGCACATGCTATGGTACAAGGAGACTCAGCTACGTATAACTGCAATAAAAATCACTGCAGCTATAAGTTCACCCCCTCCTCACGTTTACTGTGAGGCTCCTCCATAGCAATGAAAAAAACAGGGATGGACTTATTGGTAAGCTTAGAACATGGCTGCTATAAATTTAGGTGATAGGTTTCATATCTTTTCATGCTATAGCTATTCAATAAATTACTTCTGGGAGTTTCTGGCTATGTTAAGTGCCACAATTGGCATACAAGCCCAAGGACATGCCTACAAAGATAGGGGGGTCTTGCCACATTTCGGAGAGTATTGAGTTTAGTTATCGTGTTTAAGGTATCATCACCCAATGCCTATAAACAATGCAGAAAGGCTGTTCCTTCCCTATGCTCACTATATACTAATTTTCATAACTTGATTGGTAGATATCAAATGAATGTTGACAAATATGATTAGATTATTTTATGATTAAATTATTTTAAAGATTTATTAGTCATCTTGATTTGTTGCTTATGTGTCAGACGGGGAAATCTCTTGTCTTTGTTTAGTTCAGAGGATGTGTGTCATTTTATTGTAAAATGGGAGGAGGCCTCTATTAATAAGCGCAGGAAACATTTATACAAATTACAGGCGGAAAAAAAATGAATAACCAGAAACACGAAGACAGGCGATGGAATATATGTTGCAGTGAGATCTCTGTGGTGACTGGTGGGGAAAAAAAGTATTTTTTTTTTTTTTTTTAAGTTCATCAACTGTAAAATCTAATTTTCCATAGGTCCCAGAGCCTAGTTTGTCTTCATAAGCGCATTAAGAATTGATTTGTTTGAAAAATGGACAATGGTTTGCTCTTCGACCGCTGGTAAGTTATGTAGTCTTTTTTTTTTTTTTTTTAATGTTATGCTTAGAGTGTTAAATGTAAATTGTGCACAGATGTTGAGATTAAATCCATAAAATTAACTTTAAAAATATAGATCTAGTCGACTAGTAAATCCAATGGATTTGTAAAATTTCTGGGATTATTTACTAAACCAGAACTTTGCAAAATTAGGGAGCTTGCAAATTGCAGACCAAATATCATGAAATTTGCAAAGCCACTGTCAATGCTCCACAATTCTTGGCTGTTGAATTCATTCCACTAATGTGAACTCTAAGAGGTTCAGTATTCACATTTTAATTATATCTGGGTCCAATCCTATCAGTGTCTTTGCAAAGTTTTGTTATCAAGTATATTCTAATAATTGCTTAATTATGGTCTCTAACAGCTCAGTTGCAGTGTTTTACTGTTGTAACTTTATGGCATTCTTTCATCAATTTTTATTATGACAAAATAAATTAAGATAACATAATCAAATTCTCTTGAATTCTGGATCAAGTGACAACAAACCTGTATACTTATTTACTGTCCCACATTCCCATAATACTATTGGAGAACAGCCAAAACAAGCTATCTTCTCTACATATCATATCAAATGGACCTTTCTACTGCATGTACTGTTTGAAAAAAAAACCCCCAAAAAACATAGACCCTTCCCAATGCACTCATCTGTTCAGTCATAGACTTTAAACATGATTTATGTTGATGGAAAATGGTTGCAAGTGAATCTATTGCAATATTACCATTAGCCCAATCACAAGCTTCTCAATCTTTGCAAGGCAATTGCTGGTCTCTTTTGTTTAGTTCCACAGAGCTAAATGACCAAAAAGTAACAGGACCTGTGGTCGGATTGATAGCCAGGGAAATGTAAAAAGATTTTTTTAAAAAACAAACAAACAAAAACCACACACTTTCATGAATTAAGTATTTCAACAAGCTTTACGTGCTTTGAGTGTTCCTTTAAACGTAGATTGTACATGTTTGTCCCAATGAAAATTTTTGGACTATTTTCCAGAATTCTCTGACAATTATTATATTTCAGTGAGGATTAACTTGTAGTGTTAATAACTATTTGCACATTGTATCTGCTTGGTTTTACAATACTGAGGTTTGAATTTTTTTTCCAAAATTTTTTTTTTTCTTTACCAGTGGTTCTAATGCCGCCTTAAAGATCTCAGGAGCAAACTGGGGACAAGAGATGTATATCGGATGGCAGCCAAGTCCTATGTAAATCTTGTGCAGTGATATGGCAAATGTCACAGAGGAGAGTGTGGACAGCAACTTTACAAACTGTACAATTGACCACACTATACACCAGACTCTGTTCCCGGTGGTGTACGTTGTTGTACTTAGTATTGGTCTTCCAGCAAACTGCTTCTCTTTGTACTACGGCTATTTACAAGTCAAGGCCAAGAACGAGCTTGGCATATATCTGTGCAATTTAACAGTGGCTGACCTGCTTTATATTTTCTCTCTGCCATTTTGGCTTCAGTATGTTCTACAGCATGACAACTGGACTTACAATGAAGTCATGTGCAGGATCTGTGGTGTACTCCTTTATGAGAACATCTACATTAGCATTGGATTTCTTTGTTGTATCTCCATTGACCGGTACCTTGCCCTGGTCCACCCTTTCAGGTTCCTTCAACTGAGGACAATGAAGGCTGCTCTTGTGGTTAGTTCGATAATTTGGCTCAAGGAAATAATGACCAGCTACTTTTTCTTCACCCATGGAGAATTCAGTAAGGATCCGGATAGCCACGTTGTGTGCTTTGAACATTATCCCATGAAAGAATGGGAACACAGTATCAATTACTATCGATTCTTTGCTGGATTTCTTCTCCCCATTTTCCTACTGCTATTTTCTTACTGTCACATTTTCAAAGTGGTTCGAGAGAGCCAAGGAACACAAACAAAGAAAAAAATTCAAATCAAACATTTAGTTCTTAGCACTGTTCTCATATTCATGGTCTGCTTTGGTCCATATCACATACTGGTGGTTATTCGAAGCTTGTTTGAGAAAGACTGTGTATTTGCTGCAAGGATCTTTAATGTCTACCATTTCTCCCTGCTTCTCACAAGCCTAAACTGTGTGGCCGACCCGGCATTGTATTGTTTCGCCAGTGAGAACACTTACAAAGACTTCATGAAGTTTAAAGAATCTTGCTTAGCATTTTTAAGCTGTCAAAAGGTAACAAACCGATCCTATGAGTTAAAGCGTGTGGAAACAAACAGTGAAGAGAATTGCAAAGCAAAGAATGTGACTGGCAGGGATGAGACATCTTTGACATCTGTGCTCTGTGACCACAAGGTATCTGTTATTGAATCAACAGGAAATGGAATGGATTAATATCCAAATCTATATCCCTGTCAAAAAGAACTCTGAGTTTTTTTGTACTCAACTTGTGTGTTTTACAGAAAAACATGTAACAATTTTACTTTAAGCAGATATTTACCATTTTGTTATTGCAAAGAAAAATATATTTTGTGTTGTGCCACTTGCCTCTAACGCAAAAATTGTGAATGTGTTTTCTTCAGAGATTACTTGTTTTTAAATCTTAGAGTACTTCATTCTAAGATCAAAACACATGAAATGAGAACATCACATATAGGATTCCAAGAGCCAGCAAGACTGTCCAATTTATAACTAGTGGAACATGACCAAATATTGAGTGTTTGTGCTTGCATTTGATAGTGTTTTGATCTATTGGTGCATTCTGCAGTGGTGAACTATGCCAGCACCACTATGCATACTTGGAATGCTGACAAGCTAAATTTTTGCAGCCATGACTATTGATGCTCTAATTTGGAACTTTTAATTAAAGAAAGAACAAGAGCAAGCTGGCATAGGTCACACGATTGCTGTATTGACAGCACTAAACTACATCACACAATCAATGTCTCTTTAAATGTGGTCTTTGGATAATTCCAGTTGCCCCTCTCAGAGAGATCTGACCACAAATCAGGACAGAGTCTAGTTGGTAAAATAAAAACATACAAACATAAACTGCATTATTATTCAGAAAACATTTTTGATGTATTGACACGAGGGGTAACAGTAAATATCAGAGCGCTGAAAAGCAATTTGCAAAATTCAGACTAGAATAGTAATAGTAGTAGAAGAGTTGGATAATTTTTACTGATCAATGTTAACTCCCTATAGTACAGTGTTTTGCAAATAATCCCAGTTTTTTATTTACTAAACTGGGTATTGTAGAAAATTTCCCCCAAAATAGCTAAACAATAAAAATGATTGCTAGATTGGATTATTTCCTGATTCAGATTTGCCCCAAAATGTTAATTTTCACCTGACAATGTTCTACAATTCCCATTTTAGTGACTGTAGCCAAGCCCGGACTGGCCATCGGACACACCAGGCAAATTCCCAGTGGCCCGCGTTGGTCATGGGCCGAGGCCGGCAGGGGTGGTCACAGGACCTCCCCGGCCGGTCCATGCAGGGCCTGCCCTATCCAAGCGCCGGCCTTGCAGTATTCCATGACGGGCAGGTGGGGAGATCAAAGATCTCCCTCACCGGCCCACTTGCATAGACATGCGGCTGGGGATGGAGGGATAGAGGACCCAGCAGAGCTCTATCTTGCAGCTCCGCTGGGGTCCTCTCGCGAAATCTGGAGCGTTGCCATGGATAGTGAACTCAAGCCCCACAGGCTAGAGTACACTCACCATGAGCACTACCAGGGATGGCAGCACTGTCCCCCCTCCAATGCTAAAGTAAGAATGGAGGGGGGTATAATGCCTCACACACACACACTGCACCCCTCACACATACACACAGAAGCCCCCACACACAATACTTCCAAACACACACATATATATATATATATATATATATACACACACACACACACACACACACACACACACACTACAACATCCCCTAGCCACACATGCATTACATTACACCACAAACACAAGACGACTAAAACTGACATTATTACACAATACCACACCACGATATGCTCACTCTACACACACGCAATCCCACAAGCAGGATCCAAACACATGCACAATACTCTTTCCTGGCCCTTTTGTCTCCTGGTATCACATTTATAGAGACACCAGAGACAAGTTGCAAGGAAACACAGTGCAAGCATGTTATTAAAGTTGCTTGCACTGTGCAGAACAAATACAGGGATTTTTTCTCATGCTAGAGCTCTTCAGCAGAGCTCTATGCATGGAAGAGCATTGAACAAACATGCTCACTTTGAGAGGGGGCGTGTTTGTCATTGGTGATGACAAAACACACCCTCTCTCCCCGCCCCCTTCTTAATGAGCCGCTGTGATTAAAAAATGCCCAGGCCAATTTTTTTCCCCAGTCCGGCCCTGACTGTAGCCCACAGTGCTACAGTTTTTATTAATAAACATGCAACAAAATATTGCTTTACAATCAAACATTGTCTATTTAATCTGTTATAAGGGTGTTAATTTCAATAGTCTTTATTTTGCCATTATTATACATTTGTTTTGATGCTAGAAATGCATAATTTATTAATTCTAGAAATATATATATATTTAAAAATTTTTGTACAGGAAAAATATTGTTCTTATTATAATTGTGGTTAAGACAGGTCCCATGGCAGGCGCCGTTTGTGTGTGTGAGAGAAAACACTAAATAATGTTTATATTTATTGCCTGGAATATTGAACATGAAGACAGGAAATTGCAGAGGTGTCTAGACTAATGACGACTAACATAAGAAGTGCAGCTATTTTAAAATTACATTTCCTATGATGCTCAGCCAATGCTTGGGCATGTGCATGCAAAATTAGCCACCAGTTGTCTAAAATGACTAGATTTAAACCAAACTGGCAAATAAAGTTAGCCATTTATGTAATGAATTGTCACAATCAGAGCTAATAGTGTTTTCATCTCTAGACCAGGCATCTTAAATTATGTCCCTCCACATGTTGCCGAACTACAACTCCCATGATTCTCTAGCCATCTACTGCATTCAAGTAATTATGGAAGTTGTAGGCCATCAACATTTAAGATTCCTGCTCTAATCAATGAGACCTGTTGACCTGACAATCCTCCAAAGCAACCAAGTCAGATTCCTTGCCTCCACACTTGGCAGTTGCTGGCCAAGTTAGTTGTCAGCTCGTTGTTGCAATGTTTAGTAATTAAGCAAACTCCGTATAGAGAAATCCTAAAATGAGTTGGTGATTGGTACAAGCAAGACATTTTGTGATACTTCCATTAACGATAGATTACAAACTCATTGGGGGTACCGTATAATGAGCAATTATGGGGCAAAGTTCTAAAAGTGGAAAATATTAGAATGAAAACAGGATGTTCTTACTTATTTTCCAAATTTAGCACTGTGTCACACAGCTACCTCTTTGTCTCTCTCTATAAGATAGAAGATAAACAGGGAGACTAATATATTGCACAATGATATACCATTTTAAACTACATTTCACTACCCATGAGGTTTCATACATATAAAAAATGAGAGCATACATTTATTTAGGCCTTGGGGAAGAGGTTATAGAGTGGCACCTAGAAGTTTTTCAATCATCTCTGAGTGAGTGTTATAAAACAGGAGTCCATCGACTTCCATTCCAAGATTTCCAGTTTTACCACTGCGCACGCCCTGACTCACCAATATGTTCAGCATCTTTTCCTCCTGATTAAAAAAACCAAACAATAAATAAATAATAAAACACATAACACCGCGATTAACAACCCCACAGGTAGTTTTACTGCCGACTTTTAAACATTTTTTCATTGTAAGTTGATAATAGATTGCAAAATCATGCATAGTCCTGGCTACTTAATTTTTAACAAAGGATCAGTCTAAAGCTTTCTTATCCCAGATGTCGTGGACTACATCTCCACTGATGCATTGCCAGCATTATGGCTGTATGGGTGAGATGTAGTCCACAACTGGAGTGGCCTAAATACTGTGACAGCAATATCAAATAAATCGAGGCCATTTTGCAGATTTTGAGATGTTAAATGAAAAAACTTGGTAGTGAAGATGTTACAATAACTTTTGTTTATCAAAAACATAATATTTATTTGAAATATTAGAAGCATAGATAACATATAAGCATGAGAAAGAAAGAAATAATAATAATAATGTTGTTTATTGCTTGCTGTCTAGGTATACCTTAAGAAAATATATTAATTTATCAAATTAAAATTTTTCAATCTTTTACAGAAATATTGAGGGAAACAAACGTTTTAGGTATTATATGGTATCCATGCCCTTGCCTACCAGAACTAAAGCACATACGCCATTTGATAGGCATGAATAAACTGAATTGGTCAAATACATTGATGGCATATGTGGGAAAACCCCTAATGCCATCAGCATAATGCCATATAATATCGTAAGCACACGTACTCAGAGGATCTATATTAAACAGAGAATTCCAAATTGCTACTGCCGACTCCAAAAATACCCACAGTATAATTGGAGCTTTCTGGACTGCTAGAATATAGCCATGAAGTTTGATTTATTTAAGTTTGCTGTAGAGCAGGTATGCCCAAAAGGTAGATCACTAGATGTTGTAGAACTACAAATCCAATGATGCTTAGCATGCATAGAGAATGACAAAGCATAATGGAAGCTGTAGTTTTAAAACATCTGAGGATCTACCTTTTGGGCACCTCTGCTGTAGAGAGTGGGTAATGGCATATCAAGAACAGTATCCCTGCAGAAATGCAGAGGAACAGCACTTCTCTGTAGGGTGCAAACCTGCACTAGAACAAATAAGTCTTAGTGTGGGACTTTACAGAGTTACTTTGAAACTTTAATTTAAAAAAATGAGATATAGACATGTTGTTGGAGTGTTATTGATTCAGTTAGGACAAGGCAAAGTATGTATGGGGATTGCACATGATAAAAAACTGGCAGTGCCAAGCGCCTAAACTACACCAACAGGGACTGTCAACAATTGTAAAAGTATTGCAGGAAGGAAATGAGGGAAATGCCTTTCTCAAAGAGTGAAAGCCTTTGATGTCATAAGGTACCATTTGAAACAAAAGTGTATTTAAGTTCCCTCCCTCCTTAGGGACAGTAGCCATTGTCACAGTGGAATGGAACACGGGACACTTGCTTTAGCCAAGGACTAGAAAAACACCAAAATGGAGTTAAACTGCATGTGAGGAAGGTGGGGGGATTGACTGCTTTTAACTCCATGAACTTGAACTATTTCCCCAACAACTGCAATTTAAGTTTAATTCAAACTGAGCCATTGCTTGTGTTTGATGACAATCGGTTGAAGAAAAGTTACCTGCGCTCTCTCCTTAATCCCTATGTATATTTAAACAAATGGAGGTCATTTAGTTACTCCAATGGCCATTACTGTAGTCGTTGCTGCCGCCCAGGAGTGATGGGAGTGAGCGCAGGACTTATCTTTCTGTATTTGTATTCACTTTTTATATCACACAGCTTTGTTACGATGCTGCCGCCCATCCCACGTGTTCCCTATTAAGGGTTAATAAATATATAGGGGTATATATAAAAAATACCCCTCTCTGTCTCATTAGAGATATCTTTGCCAGAAGCTCAAAGAAGCTAGGTGAAGGGTCAGTGTAGGACCTACTTAGGGGGTCTGCCTTGACGTTGGCAGGTGGGCATTCCCTTCAATCGCCTTTGGAGTAACTAAATGACCTCCATTTGTTTAAATATACATAGGGATTAAGGAGAGAGCGCAGGTAACTTGTTTTTCTTTGGTTTTTCCTATATATTGGGGCTGATGTGTACTGTAGTCATTGCTGCCGCCCAGGAGTGATGGGAGGAAGCACAGGACTTATCTTTCTGTAAAAAGTCTGATTGTGTTTTTAACTTTTAAGCATGTCTTAACATCTCGAGCAAGAAACAGACTCGTGCTTAGTTTGACTGTAACTTAAGAATTCGGGGACTGATGCCAAATAGTCCACATTTACAATAGTTTACAAGACTTGGATTCAAAAAACGTATTTTAATTTAGAGGCATTTAAGTGAGCTTGTATTTCAAGGTCTGTTATACATCTTATTTGCAGACTTGTGAATCCATTTAAATTACCTGATTCTGAGGTCACCTTTGGCCTGCATGACTTTTAGTTCTTATCTATGCAGATTCTATCAAAGCGTTTTTGGTTACACACAGTTAATTTTGGTATGAAGATAAGTTAGCCTGGTTCAAATGTATCAAGGACACTTTCAAGGAAAACCCCAAGAACCACACATCATACTGTTATGGTTATGGGGTTAGGAGTGTAAATAGTCAAACCATTTTAGAACAGTTTGACTTCTTATGTGAGGTTTGCCAGGTGCTGCTTCCCAACCACCGCTTTGTAGCAAGGAGAGGGAAAAGTTCCTGCTTAGGAGCTTCAGTTAACTCTACTGAGCTAATCCATGCATTTGCTGAGGGCATCTGTGTCTAGGTAGGAAATCAAATTATTATTAGATTATTTATACAGCGCCATCAAATTCCACAGCACTTTACAATGGGTGGACGAACAGACATGTAGTTGTAACCAGACAAGTTGTACACACAGGAACAGATAGGTTGAGGGCCCTGCTCAATGAGCTTACATGCTAGAGGGAGTGGGGTAAAGTGACACAAATGGTAAGGATTGTATTAGACTAGTGACAGTTGCAGAAGAGGAATCAGTCAGGAGCTATTAACAGTTCAATTTATACGCTTTTATGAAGAAGTGTTTTTTTTTAAAAGATTTTTTGAAGGAGTGGAGACTGGGTGAGCATCTAGCGGAGGAGGGAAGAGAGTTCCACAGGAACGGTGCAGCCGTCGAAAAGTCTTGAAGGCGAGCATCACCAGGAGAGAGCAATATCTTGTAGACAGATATTGCGGAGGATGAGTAGAAGCTGTTGATGATCAACAGTGTCAAAAGCCGCAGACAGGTCAAGGAGAATTAGGATAGAGTAGTGACCACGAGATTTTGCAGCGAGTAGATTATTGGATACTTTGGTCAGTGCCGTTTCCACAGAGTGCTTAGCGCGGAAACCAGACTGAAGCGGGTCTAGCAGAGAGTTGGACTCGAGGAAGTCTGTCAATCTTGCATACACAATTCTTTCAAGGATCTTGGATGCAAAAGGCGGTAGCGAGATAGGACGGTAGTTGGATGGGGAGTTAGGGTTAAGGTTGGGCTTCTTTGTTTTTGTTCTAAAAACACTGACAAGGAAGGGGAGTTAGGACACCACAACTACTATGGCATGCTGTAGTGATTATAGCTCTCGGAGGATATATTTAAAGAGCACTGAAATTAAGAACAAATAAATGTATTAATAATGTTAGAGTATAGCGTTTAAAGATTAGGATTATTTGGCTCCCTTTTGAGAGTATATGAAGAAGTTAAACTAATTCTTTAATTAACCCCTTAAGGACCAAACTTCTGGAATAAAAGGGAATCATGACATGTCATGTGTCCTTAAGGGGTTAAAGCCCTTCAAGCAACATAATCACCACTGTGTGCTGTAGTGGTTACAGTGCCAGAACTTTAAAGGGACACTATAGTCACCAGAACAACTACAGCTTATTGAATTTGTTCTGGTGAGTAGAATCATTACCTTCAGGCCTTTTGCTGTAAACACTGTCTTTTCAGATAAAATGCAGTTTACATTACAGCCTAGTGCCAACTTCAATGGCCACTCCTCAGATAGCTGTTAGAGATCCTTCCTGGGTCATGGCTGCCTAAAATGCATCCAAATATTCAGTATCTCCTCCCTCTGCATGCAGACACTGAACTTTCCTCATAGAGATTCATTGATTCAATTCATCTCTATGAGGAGATGCTGATTGGCCAGGGTTGTGTTTGAATCATGCTGGCTCTGCCCCTGATCTGCCTCTTTGTCAGTCTCAGCCAATCTTATGGAGAAGCATTGTGATTGGATCAGGCTACCACTTCTGCTGATGTCAGCAGGCAGTGGGCAGGTCAAAAGGAAACCGGGACAAGCAAGCAGCTCCAGACTTGAATACCAGTAAGATTTTACTATATTTAGGGAGGCAAGGGGGGCTAGATGGTGGTTTTAACCCTAAAGGGTCAGGAATACAGGTTTGTGTTCCTGACCTATAGTGCTCCTTTAAGATTTCAAACCAATGAAGAACAATTTTACTTTTTCCTTGGGGTCCATCGGGCACCGTTCACCAAATCTGCTACAGCTCAGTGAGAGCAGGAAGCTACTGTGCTGCTTCTAATAGATCTCCTGAGTGAAGCCATGCAGTGCAGGACTAGCTCAGTGGGTGAGAGTGTCAGCTGATGAGCTAAGCCCTCCACCACCAAGCTTAAATAAGTACGATTTCGGCTCTCATTCAGCTGTAGAAGATGCAGGGAGCTGCACCTGGCGGACCCCAGGTAAGAAGTGAAGCTCTTCTAAAAATAGGAAGCTGCCAGGGTACTATTACCACCACAGTGCACTGTTGAAGTTATGGTGATGGTAGTGCTCCTATAATAAAGAGCCAATTGAATGCTTCTCTAGTAAGAAGCATTCACAGCATTCTGTGTGATCACCCTGTGTGTGACGATACAACAGGAACATGTATTTCAAATACTGAAAGTCTTCACTATGAAGAGCCTGTAGATCAGGGGTGACCAAAAGGTAGATCCACAGATGTTTGAAACTACAACTTCCATGACACTTTGTCATTCTAAAAGCATTCTAAATGCATGCAAAGCATCATGTGAGTTGTAGTACTACAACATCTTGGGATTTATCTTTTAGGCACCTGTGCTCTAGTTGCAGTCTGACTGCTACTAGAGGCATACTGGCTGAAAAATGTATACAATGCCTTTCCTTACAAACGGCAAGACTTACATTTAATCGAACTGCAGGAACAGGATGTATGTACTATAAGGATGCAGTGGTTTTGGTGCTTAGTGTCCATTTAATGTGAAAGATGATGATTTAATACTGTTTTATCCATTTCAGATTGTTTTTACAGACGTCAACTTCAGATTGAAATCACATCACTTTTGGTGACCACATTCTATTCAAACAGTTTTTTGAAAAAAATTCATTTTTATTTACCCGCTTATAAAAGTAATTGCAACAGGTTAAAGTGATGATATGCATGATCACTGTATCTCTTTTTGAAACTGTAACTAAGGTTCCTTAATAGGTTTATGCAATGCATACATACAATTTTACTATATGACAGAAGGCCAGATATTTTGCTTAAGGCTCTCTTTACTGAACTTCACAGCAGCACAACTTACCCAAGATATGTAACCAATCAAAAACAAGAGAAGTTAATAAAATACCTTAAAAAGCATCTTTTCTTTCTTTGCTGCTCCTCAACAGCACATGTCAAGAGTGTCACACAACAGAGTGTCAATGCTTCCTACAATTCCTTGTTGGTTGCTTATGATTTTATTGCTTTCATTGTAAACATTTTTTTGCTGAATTCTCTTTTCTCCCCTCAAATTCTCTCTCAAACTGTTTTTTTTGTCTCATATTTTCCCATTCCTCTTGTACCGTTTGCTGAATTACCCTGCTTGTTCTTTTGTCTGATCATTTCTGAAACAATCACGCTTCCTTCCATTGGATCCTTTGCTCTACCAGGACTCCAGGGCCTTTGCTTTGTTTTTTTCTGCCTTGGGCTCCTTCCTGATTGCGCTCCATTGCAGGACCCTTGTTCTAGTCACTGTTCGGGTACGACGTTTAATTTTCTAATGTAAGCAGAATGGGGTAGATTTATTATACAGTGATTGTGGGATTTATAAAAGCCCTGTCTGGCATGTGGCAAAGGCCTACCTTGTTTTTTCCCTGTACATGGGGAGAACCACCACTTTCTAAAACTATTTGGGTGTGCCCCCATATTATCTTGTTATACTACACTGTGCAGACTGCTAGTTATCCATTATTTGAGTGAGCCCACATCTAATATTACAGTGTATTGATTGGCCTTGCTCTGATTGGCTTATGTTGACAGGGGTGGGGTGAACCCAAATTACTTGCCTACACCTTGTGGCTGTTCCCAATTGCCTTTTAATTGTATGGTCTTTTTATACAGTTTTACTTAAGTTGGCCTGCTCTGGCTGTGTTATTTACTTCACTAAGACTCCAATTACCTTGAGTATGGATTATATGCCCCAGCTGACCGTGTCTTCTATAGCATCTGTGTGAGCACTGTAACTGTATTTTATACAGTCCTGTTTTCACATAGCTATATCCATACTAGCTGCTGTTCCTTCACATTGGGACACTTGGTTATTGCCGAAACTATACGCAACAATGGGAGATTCACCTGCTCAGAACAGAACCTGCAAGCATTAAAGTGTCAGTGTCTGCTTCAGTGAAAAAAAAAAAACAACCCAAAAAAGCCTCCTTGTCCAGGATGGACCTGGACACTGAGCACTGCAGACACTTCAGCAAGAGAACAGGCCAGGTCTGCTAAACACTACTGGAAAGGCAAATATCCCGCAATTTGTAACCAGAAGGAAAAGGCCCTGGCCTATCACTGCAGGAGAATGGAAGAACCGGAGTCTAACAATACGCAGGCTTGTCTTTCATAGAATGACTCCTTATCTACACCACCGTTCTCAGTGCGAGATGAATAGCAGGCCCTTTGTTCCGCTTCTGAGAGAGAACTCCAGCCACCGCCTCTGCAGGGATGAGACAGCGTTCATAGATGATAACTTGAGCCCCTATTTGACCCAAGGTATCTTCTATCTTCTCTTCAGAATGGTCACTTCTGGATCATCTTGCACAGTTTGTACACTTTTGGCTCCAAACATCTCTTGCCCACGAGGTCCGCAACTTTGGCAGGTAAAATGCCCAAGACCCTGCTTGCGACACAAGATCACACAGAGACCAAAATTCTATTTGGCTGCATCCATTTTACTATCCACGATGTGCTAAGATACAAGGAAAGACATTAAAAATGGCCTGAACCTTGCTTAAGACAAACTCTTGGCTGTATCCGGGACTGAGGACTTTGCTCCTTTTGTTTGTTTGTGCCAATTTAGCACTTCCTACGGAACAAAGAAAAGAAATCCTGCTTAGGATTGACTCCAAACTCTCTGACCTTAGTTCAAAAGATTCGAGACAGACAAAGGGACTCTTATTTAGAGAACGGGTTATCAAGGAGCTGCAGAAACACGTGGATCTTTTTACTACACTAACAAGGCTCAGACCTCCATGTCGAGGTATGTAGTCCTACACCTTCCCTGGTGTATTTGACAGGGCTGGCTGGCAGCTTCTTCAGGCCTGCCAGTTCAGGAGGATACTACCCTGTTACTTTCTCCCTGAGCAACACTACCTGAAATGTCTCCATTTCCATAGTAGTGAGCGATGTCGGCAAAACTGTATCAGACTATCTATAGCTGAGCCCTCATCCTTGTTCTTTCCGTCTGTTTCAGGCAGGCAGATTGTCTCAATTTCTCCACATGTGATGAGATCTTTCTTCAGATGCTTGAGTTGTGCAGATGATGCATAGGTATGCCACAGAGTTCCATTCCACTCCTGTACAGGACTGTCCACCGCGACCTCATGTGAACCCTATAGCTCAACAGTCCCCCACATAAAATGAGATTTTAATCCCTGTTTGCAAAGGGTGCAGTGCAATTCTCGCCAGATGGAGGAGGATTTTTCAGCAACATTTTCTGGTATAAAAGAAAACAGGAGACTTCCGCCCAGTTATAAACCTCCTTGTCTCAATGCCTTCATCATGTAACAACACTTCAAGATAAAAGATATCCACCATCTCATCCTCTACCTGCTTTGGCTAAGCAATTGGTTCACGAATCTCAATTTGTAGCACGCAAATTTACCTGTGGATCATCTCTGCCTAGGTTTTCTGCATTTTTTTCTGAAATGGAAGAGTTTGCTTCTCAAACCTTCTAAAACTGGCAGTGGCACGTTTACGGGCTAAAGGTTGCCTTGTCTATTTAGACTATATTTTGTAACGCAATTCTGGATCCGGTGTGTGTAACAGTAGATGAGGTTAAGCATAATAGTCTGTTTAATGAGCTTATACGGTTTGCTAGGATCACAAGGTTGCTTCACCAAGTCCATCGTAGGGAGTGTTCATGGTGTTGATCGAACTACTAGGTGTGGTTCCCGGACCTTCTAGATTTTACCTGCCAGGTAAAATTGTTCTTGCTTCTCCTCACCAATCTTCGGGGGAGCCCTCATACTCCCTCATAGGAGTACCTGCAGTTGGTGGTTTGGACTGCTGTTTCTATGGAACTTGGAATGGCGGCAGATTATCGCAAGCGGCTAAGGAACTCCTATGGGATTCATGGGCACCTGACATTAGACAGTGTTATCTTTTTGCATGGAATTCCTGGTGTAGTTGGCGCCTAGATAGGAACAGCTATCCCTTTACAGCCCCTGTTCCCATTCTGAACTTTTTGTCACATGGATTTTTGTTGGTTAGAACCTACAGCTCCATAACTGATGGAACTGGCCATTTCTGCTGCTCATGTTCGAGTTCAGGGATCCCTGGGTTTGCTGGTTTCTATGGAAAAACTGTCTTCTTCCTCTGTTCTCCAAATATTCTCATTTACAAGATGTTGACTTTGTTCTTGGTTTTTATGCGTAATTGACTTGAGAATACAAATATCTCGCTTTGTCCACTTTCGTCAAAATTTACCCTTCTTCTGTGTCTCATCTCTTTTAGGTGTTGGATGTTCGTGACTTTGACACCTTTTCTCCTAAAGCCAAATCAGATTCCTCTTCTGTCTTCTATCCTTATTTTTGAGACGTCACAAAAATTTGCATCGTTTCCATGCTTACCCATTACATTGAGATTACGTCTCTATGTTCTTCTCAGTCAGGCCAGCTTCTTACCTCGTATGTAAGACTGCAAAAAACTGTCTCAAATACTACCTTAGCTCGGTGGGTTTGTTGGCTTTTGTCCTTGGTGGGCATTGACCGTTTTTTCAATGCCCGTTTGGTTTGGCTGCCTCTCAAGCTTTCTCTGCAATCTTCTGCGGAAGAGTCTTGAGAGGACACTTTCTGATGATTTTATTTTCATTCTTCCCCTCAACATTTCTTTGTTCAATTTTCTTTGAGCGTAAAAGCAAAATATGAAGCTTAATGTCATGTAATAAAATAGGTTATGCTAGTTTTAATGCAACTACAATTTTAATTTTAGTAATAAAAGGAGGCAAATATTGTTCCTCGCTAATGTTCTTTTATTGAGTTGTTCTTTGGATGTATTTCTTTGCATGGTTTGCATGTATTTATGTACTGTGACTGTTGATATGATTCTTAAAGTGTTTTATTGCGGACATGTTTGTAAATTATATAGTAGAATATGTTAATGTTTTCTGCAACTTGCCCTTGTCTCTTAAGTATTTTCTTTTGCATCAGTTTGATCTTCAGATTCAAGTTCTATGCTGAAGACTTCCTGATGGGCTAGTGCATTCCAGGATCTTTCAGGATTTTCTACATTGTTGCTTTGGTGCCTTTGTTTCAGTTATGTTTTGTTAATGTTTGGAATTTGTCATTATCCGCAACTAGAGAAGGTGCGTGTCGAGCACAGGTCTTATATTAACTTCTCTTGTTTTTGATTGGTTACCTATCTTGGGTAAGTTGTGCTGCTGTGTAGTTCAATAAAGAAATACTTAAGCAAAATAGTTGCCTTTTGTCATTTGTAAAATTAAGATAATAGGTACACTAAAGATAGCAAAATCTACAGTTCAATTACATAAAAACTGATATGGATTTTTACTTAAAAGTATATTGACAGATTTTTTTTTTTTTGGATTTATGTTTACTGTAATATAGTGAGCTGTAGTGGTTATAGTGAACGGAGTGCCTGGGTCCACCCTTTTTGTAAATAGTTTAACAGTTTTAGAAAGTTTGATTTCTTACCTGGTGTCTGCTAGGTATCAATGCAGGTTACAAAGACAGCATAAATATTAACAAGCCAAATGTTAAAAGGGACACTATGGTCACCAGAACAACTACAGCTCATTGTAGTTGTTCTGATGAGTATAGTCCGTCCCTGCAGACTTTTTAATGTAAACACTGCATTTTCAGAGAAAAGTCAGTGTTTACAGTAAAGCCTAGGGACACCGCTAGTGGTCACTCCTCAGATGGCTATTAGAGGTACTTCCTGGGGCAGTGCTGCACAGTGTGAACCACTGCCGTTCAGCGTCTCCACGCTCTGCATGGAGACGCTGAACTTATCTCATAGAGGTGCACTGAATCAATGCATCTCTGAGGAAATGCTATTTGGCCAGGTGGTATTTGGTCCTGCCCCGCCTCCAATAGGAAAGCATTGGATTGGCTGAAATCATCAATCCTGATGATGTCATCCGAAGAAGTGGATCGGGACAGGGCCAGCACTTGCACACCTGTGGAGAGCAGAAAATAAGGTACGTTTAACCCTTTCTAAGGGGCCAGGCCATCTCAATGGTGGTTTTAATACTATAGGGACATGTTTGTGTTCCTGACCCTATGGCATTCTTTTGAGATTTGTAGATGTTCAATTAATATATCAGCATTTTGTCTGTATCCCTCTCACTCTTTATAATTACTTCACAGAACAAAAATTATCCTGTGATAAATTATCCTGATCTAGGTAGAATCTCCTATCTATGTATATTTATATCCTTACTTGTGTATATATCTCCTCACACCCATCCTCAATGCAGACATCCACCGGCATTGCTTGCCATTTGCGTTAGTGTGGATAGAAGTATGAGGAAAAAGCCCAATGCAGGGAGATCAATATGCACATTGCTTTCTCTGCTTTCCAACACTGCCTGTATTTTTATAATTGGGTAGGTCATGGTTGAGCTCCAGAAGGCAACATGCACACTCTCCTAACTACTTAACCCCACCTTCAATTAGCTTGCTTAGAATATTAACTTTTTAAAAAAAGAATTAAACCACTTGAGCTGCACATGTATGCAGTTGCTAGACAGAAGTCAGACACTGTATGCACCAATATACTGTGTTGTACATGCCATTTCAGGGTAGCGGATACTCCCACTCCATACTGTAACCAGTTTGCTTTTTTTATGTAGTGTAAAACCAACCATAAAACCAAATGGAAAAAAAATCCCTCACATATAGAGAAAGACATTTACCTTGTGAACAGATGGAAGAGCAGATGCCCAGGTATCTCCCTTTGAAAATTTGGGGTATCCGACAGCCTTCCTAAGATAGCGCTCATGGATTTCACAGGTATTCAAGAGGTACAATGCACAAGCCAAGGCATAGCCTCCCCAGTTAGACACACCTAAAAGAGAACGACTTCACATTAACTGTGTAATAAGAAAATAGCAGGAGTGTAGCTGCTTAATGGCAGAGACAGATAAGAGGAAAAAACACAAAAAAGCTACTTGAAAAGTTAAACCGGTCCTCCCAGTTACATTACATTTCTCTTGGTTCACTAGCCTTAATGACTGACTATTTGTTTGGGTACCTATGTAACCCTTTGATGTTCTGAGACCTGAACTAGTTAAACAGGTCTTTCAAAAAGTCCCTAGAATACAATTAACCCTTCCATAGCGCGCAGTTATTGCAATAGTTTCGGCATAAGGTAAACTATAGGCAAATTATGTTTGAGGACTCTGAATTACAAGTGAGTTAAATAAAAAGGCAGTCAGGATTTAGAAAATGTTGTAAAGGTTTATTCTGGGAAAAACATCTGTTCTCAAATCTGGAACTTACCAGTTTGAGTAACTATCAGTGGAGGAGAAGCAGATTAAGAGTAAGGGAAAAGGAATTGGGCTTGGTCATGGAATCTCCCACTAGACCACCCAGTATTTCACCAAGAATGTTGAAATGTAATTTTTAGTTACTGTTGCATATCTGTACTTTTCTTCGAAGAACTGTATATTACCCTAGTGCATTTGTTTCCAACCTTTTTTCACTTGTGAGCCCCTTGGCATCCCAGTTTCATAAAATGTGCCCCTCATATTAGCAAAATGTTTGTTATTAATATAGTTGCTGTTATTTCAATTCTTTCTTTGCCCCATCTCCCCTTTATCGCTGCCTCAGGCTTCCCTTGCTTCTCCTCTACCCCAGGTGGCCCCTGCTTCTCCTCTGCCCCAGACTCTAGCTGCTCCTCCTCTGCCCCAGGCCCCTGCTGAATCTCCACTGCCCCAGGCTCTCCCTGATTCTCACAGTGAAGACAGAAATACTGACACACATGCAGATACAGAGATACACACATTCAGATACATAGATAAAAACACTGACACCTAAAGATAGACACTGACAAACATAGTATACACAGATACAAACACAATATCACACAAAGGCACAAACATTGACACACGTACAGTTGCAGAGACACAATGATACACCCATACAATGTACAGACACACTCACACAGATACACTCGCTTATACGTAGACACACATACAAACATTGCAACATACAGATACTGACACACATGCAGATGTACAGATACAAACTGGCACACATACACAGATACACAAACTGACACACATCCAGATACACATACTGACAAACATACATTGACACACATCCAGATGTACAGAAACATAAAAACAAACATTGACAAACATACAGAAACACGGATACATACTGACATGCAGATACAGACACGCAAATGTACAGACACACCTTTTTAATATGTAGTTTTCACTATTCACTGTTTCATTGGTTATATCATTAGTATTATATTTTCATTAAGTATAGATAAAGCTGCTTGATATAGTTTATATCTGTATATGTTCTGAATTGGAAACGTGTATATGTAACCATTATTTGTCTAAGCACTTTATATGAACCATGACACTTGAATATATCGCACTCAATGGCACTTTATTTCAAGGTGTACTGTTTGAAATATATTGAAATGATCGTGGCTAGTTTCTGGTCTTTAATTCTGTCACGATTATTATGTGGTGTGGGTTGTGACTCCAAAATGAATAGAAGCTACAAGTGATATTTTGACGTCTAATACATTTTTCCTTAGTGGACTTTAAGTGCATATGAGAGCCACAGTTAGAGTATGGACACTGGCGTCCGTGGAATGCACATCTGATGTGGGTGGAAGGCAAAAGCGAAAGTGACGTTGCTGGAACGCTCGGAAGTGCATGAAAAACCGGCAGGAGTATGAATGAAGAAACATTAGGATTCAAAGCTGTTGAAAAATGTGTGCAAGGAGAAAACATTGGTAAATACTGATTGAATATTTGAGTAAAAAGGAGGAACACCCACTTAATCGCCAATTAATAGTAAGGACACTTCATTTATAACGGGATTCGGGGGAGAGAGGAATTCAGGCACAAGTTAATTGGTGCAGTCGGTACTTTACAGATGTATCTGGGTGGCCTCCGTTCAGCATACGAACACATGGCGGCGGCCAACTTACGCACGAAACCTCACCGGTGTTTGGTCGTCGAGTGTCTGGAACTCAAATCGGACACTCAAATACCCGAACACCGCTGAGACCTCCAGAGCTCCGTAACTCCCGAATGGAGGGGCCAACCAGCCCCTCGTTCGGTGAATTAAAAGTACCGAACAAGGGTATTCAGACGAATACCGATTTAATAGTGGATGGCAAGGATTTATGGGTATTTTATCTCCCGAACGGAGACCGACCACAGGGCCAAAACACATGGAACCCTTTTCGGCTACCACCTCATGTGCGGTCGGTCAAATTGTCTCTTCCACCTAACTCCCGAACCCCTGGTCCGATCTGGGTGAATTTTGAATATGTTGGTCACCCAGATCAGGGCTATCAGGGGGTGCCACTTAGACAATTGTACCGGACTGTTTTAGGGTACATCCAGAAAACGGGTAAAACTGTAGCATGTATAAGTGGATTATGTGTCACACTGAGGGGAGGAGATGTATGGGAGGTAACTACTGTACTATTGGCCACTGTACCAATTATTGTAAATCCTTCCCTTGCATGGGAGAATCCTTTATAAGGAATTTGTGTGATTAAAAGTTCAGTTCTGCGCCTGATGCTGTGTGTCGTCCAGTCATTGGGATTGATGTTGGGATATTGTTGGATTGTTTTGCTTGCTGGAATTATTGCCTTATGGATTTCTAATACTTGTTCCTGAGCCTTACTGGGATGTTAAGTGGAGATAACCTGTGTAATAGCAGCTCTCCGCTACAAACACTGACACAGGTCATACAGTGTTTGTATCTGTGTGTCTGTATAACTGTATGCGGGTCAATGTTTGTATATGTGTGACTGTATCTGTCTGTCTGTACATCTCTATGTACTGACGCAGATGTACAGACATACAGATACAAACACCAACAAAGATGTACAGACACACAGATATAAACATTGACACACATGCAAAAACAAAGATACAAAGACTGACGCTCAGATACGCAAACTGACACACATACAGATGTAGACACACAGGTACAAACTGACAGATGCAAACAATGACAAAAGATGTGCAGATACAAACACTAACACCCATGCTGATGTAAAGACACACAGATGTAAACAACGACAAAAGATGTTCAGACACGCAGATACAAACACTAACACAGATGTACAGAAACACATATACAATCCCTGACACACATGCAGATGTACAGGCACACATATACAAACATTGATACATGCAGATGTACAGGCACACATATATAAACACTGACACACGCAGATGTACAGGCACACATATACAAACATTGACACACGCAGATGTACAGGCACACATATACAAACTTTGGCAGATGTACAGTCACACAGATACAAACATTGACAGATACAAACACTGATACTCATGAAGATGTACAGACACACAGATACAAACACTGACACACGTATAGATGTACAGACACACAGATACAAACACTGACACACGTATAGATGTACAGACACACAGATGCAAACACTGACACACGTATAGATGTAAAGAGACACAGATGCAAACACTGACACACGTATAGATGTAAAGACACACAGATACAAACACTGACACCCATGCAGATGTACTGACACACGTATAGATGTACAGACACACATATAGATGTACAGACACACAGATGCAAACAACACACGTATGATGTACAGACACACAGATGCAAACAACACACGTATGATGTACAGACACACAGATGCAAACAACACACGTATGATGTACAGACACACAGGTGCAAACAACGACACATGCATAGATGTACAGACACACAGATTCAAACACTGACACACATACAGATGCACAGACACACATGCAGATGTACAGACGCACAGATGCAAACACTGATGCAGATGTACAGATACAAACACTGACACACATATAGATGTACAGACACCCATACAGATGTACAGACACACAGATACAAACATTGACACATATGTACAGACAAACATGGATAAACACATGCAAATGTACAGACGCAGAGATACAAACATTGACACCCATGCAGATACACATACAGACGTAGACACACAGGTACAAACAATGACACAGTGTTTGTATCTGTGTCATTGTTTGCATGTGTTTATCCATGTTTGTCTGTACATCTGTGTCAATGGCTGTATCTGTGTGTCTGTACATCTGCATGGGTGTCTGTGTCTGTACATCTATATGTGTGTCAGTGTTTGTATCTGTGTGTCTCTACATCTGTGTGTCTGTACATCTGTGTCAGTGTTTGTATATGTGATTCCATACATCTGCATGTGCGTCGTGTATAGATGTTTGCATCTGTGTGTCTGTACATCTGCGTCAGTGTTTGTATCTGTGTGTCTTTATGTCTCTGAGTGTCAGTGCATTTGCATGTGTTTCAGTGTTTGTATCTCTATGTCTGTACATCTGCCTCAGTGTTTGAATCTGTACATCTGTGTCAGTGTTTATATCTGTGTGTCAGTGTGTGTATCTATTCCTCTGTGTATCAATGTTTGTATATGTGGGTCTGTACAGGGAGTGCAGAATTATTAGGCAAGTTGTATTTTTGAGGATTAATTTTATTATTGAACAACAACCATGTTCTCAATGAACCCAAAAAACTCATTAATATCAAAGCTGAATATTTTTGGAAGTAGTTTTTAGTTTGTTTTTAGTTTTAGCTATGTTAGGGGGATATCTGTGTGTGCAGGTGACTATTACTGTGCATAATTATTAGGCAACTTAACAAAAACAAATATATACCCATTTCAATTATTTATTATTACCAGTGAAACCAATATAACATCTCAACATTCACAAATATACATTTCTGACATTCAAAAACAAAACAAAAACAAATCAGTGACCAATATAGCCACCTTTCTTTGCAAGGACACTCAAAAGCCTGCCATCCATGGATTCTGTCAGTGTTTTGATCTGTTCACCATCAACATTGCGTGCAGCAGCAACCACAGCCTCCCAGACACTGTTCAGAGAGGTGTACTGTTTTCCCTCCTTGTAAATCTCACATTTGATGATGGACCACAGGTTCTCAATGGGGTTCAGATCAGGTGAACAAGGAGGCCATGTCATTAGATTTTCTTCTTTTATACCCTTTCTTGCCAGCCACGCTGTGGAGTACTTGGACGCGTGTGATGGAGCATTGTCCTGCATGAAAATCATATTTTTCTTGAAGGATGCAGACTTCTTCCTGTACCACTGCTTGAAGAAGGTGTCTTCCAGGAACTGGCAGTAGGACTGGGAGTTGAGCTTGACTCCATCCTCAACCCGAAAAGGCCCCACAAGCTCATCTTTGATGATACCAGCCCAAACCAGTACTCCACCTCCACCTTGCTGGCGTCTGAGTCGGACTGGAGCTCTCTGCCCTTTACCAATCCAGCCACGGGCCCATCCATCTGGCCCATCAAGACTCACTCTCATTTCATCAGTCCATAAACCTTAGAAAAATCAGTCTTGAGATATTTCTTGGCCCAGTCTTGACGTTTCAGCTTGTGTGTCTTGTTCAGTGGTGGTCGCCTTTCAGCCTTTCTTACCTTGGCCATGTCTCTGAGTATTGCACACCTTGTGCTTTTGGGCACTCCAGTGATGTTGCAGCTCTGAAATATGGCCAAACTGGTGGCAAGTGGCATCGCGGCAGCTGCACGCTTGACTTTTCTCAGTTCATGGGCAGTTATTTTGCGCCTTGGTTTTTCCAAACGCTTCTTGCGACCCTGTTGACTATTTTGAATGAAACGCTTGATTGTTCGATGATCACGCTTCAGAAGCTTTGCAATTTTAAGAGTGCTGCATCCCTCTGCAAGATATCTCACTATTTTGACTTTTCTGAGCCTGTCAAGTCCTTCTTTTGACCCATTTTGCCAAAGGAAAGGAAGTTGCCTAATAATTATGCACACCTGATATAGGGTGTTGATGTCATTAGACCACACCCCTTCTCATTACAGAGATGCACATCACCTAATATGCTTAATTGGTAGTAGGCTTTCGAGCCTATACAGCTTGGAGTAAGACAACATGCATAAAGAGGATGATGTGGTCAAAATACTCATTTGCCTAATAATTCTGCACTCCCTGTACATCTACATCTGTGTTTCTGTACATCTGCATGTGTGTCATTGTTTGGGTCTGTACATCTGTGTCAGTGTTTGTATCTGTGTGTCTGAGTGTCCGTACATTTGCATGTTTTTCAGTGTTTGTATCTTTGTGTCTGTACATCTGCCTCCGTGTTTGAATCTGTACATCTGTGTCAGTGTTTATAGCTGTTTCTGTATGTGTGTCAGTGTTTTTATATGTTCCTCTGTATGTGTGTCAGTACATCTGTATGAGTGTCAGTACATTTGCATGTTTTTCAGGGTTTGTATCTGTGTCTGTACATCTGCCTCAGTGTTTATATCTGTGTTTCTGTAAGTCTGTATGTGTGTGAGTCAGTGTTTGTATATGTGCCTCTGTATGTGTGTCAGTGTTTGAATCTGTGTCTGTACATCTGCATGTGTTAGTACATCTGTGTCAGTATCTGTGTGTCTGTACATCGGTATGCATGTCAGTGTTTGTATCTGTGTCTTTACATCTGCGTCAGTGTTAGTATATGTGTTTATGTACGTCTGTATGAGTGTCAGTGTTTGTGTCTGTGTGTCAGTGTTTGTATCTGTGCTTCTTTATGTGTATCAATGTTTGTATATGTGTGTCGGTACATCTGCATGTGTGTCAGTGTTTGCATCTGTATGTGTCTGTACATCTGTCAGTTTTTGTATCTGTAAGTCTGTGTGTGTGTCAGTGTATCTGTGTTTGCATCTGTACATTTGCATCTGTGTGTCTACATCTGCATGGGTGTCAGTGTTTGTATTTGTACATCTGTGTCAGTGTTTGTATCTGTGTGTCTGTATGAGTGTCAGTGTCTGTACATCTGCATGTGTTTATCCATGTTTGCATTTGTGTCAGTGTTTGACACAGATGTACAGATACAAACACTGGCACAAATGCAAACATGGATAAACATACGCAGATGTACAGACACTGACACTCATACAGACGTATAGACACACAGATACAAACACTGCCGCACATGTACAGATACAAACACTGACACTCATACAGACATACAGATACAAAAACTGACACAGATGGACAGACCCACATGCAGATGTACAGTCACACATATACAAACATTGATACACATACAGAAGCACAGATACAAACACTGACACACATATAAAAACACTGACACAGATGTACAGACACAGATACAAACACTGACACTCATACAGATGTACAAACCCTGACACACAGATACAAACACTGATGCAGTGGTTCAGAAACACAGATACAAACATTGAAACACACAGATTTTCAGACACACAGATACAAACACTGATACAGATGTACAGACACATAGATGCAAAGATTGACGCAGATGCAAACACTGACACAGATGTACAGACACACAGATGCAAACATGGATAATGTACAGATACAACTATTGACACAGATGTACAGAGATATACAGACACACAGATACAATATTTGCATCTATATATCTGTACATCTGTGTCAATAGTTGTATCTGCATGTGTTTATACATGTTTGCATCTATGTGTCTGTACATCTGTGTCAGTGTTTGTATCTGTGTGTCTGAAAATCTGTATGATACAAACACTGACGCAGATGTACTGACACACAGATGCAAACACTGACACATAAAGATGTACAGACACACAGATGCAAACACTGACACACATACAGATGTACAGACACACAGATACAGTGGTTCAGAAACACTGATGCAGACCCACGGATACAAACATTGAAACATACAGATTTTTAGACACCCAGATACAAACACTGATACAGATGTACAGACACATAGATGCAAACATGGATAAACACATGCAGCTGTACAGACACACATATACAAACACTGACACACATACAGATGCACAGATAGAAACACTGACACTCATACAGACGTACTGATGCAGATGTACAGACACACAGATGCAAACATGGATAAACACATGCAGATGTACAGACACTGGCACACAAATGCACAGATACAAACACTGACACTCACACAGACACACAGATACAAACACTGACACTCATACTGCATCACAGATGCAAACACTGACGCAGATGTACAGATACAAACACGGACACACAGATGCAAACACTGACAAACAGGCAGTCATACAGACACACAGATACAACCATTGACACAGATGCAAATATGGATAAACACATGAGGCTGTACAGACACATATACAAACACTGACACACATACAGATGCACAGATAGAAACACTGACACTCATACAGACGTACTGATGCAGATGTATAGACACACAGAAGCAAACATGGATAAACACATGCAGATGTACAGACATTGGCACACAAATGCACTCATACTGCATCACAGATACAAACACTGACGCAGATGTACAGATACAAACACGGACACACAGATGCACAGATAGAAACACTGACACTCATACAGACGTATGATGCAGATGTACAGACACACAGATGCAAACATGGATAAACACATGCAGATGTAGAGACACAAACACTGACACTCATACAGACACACAGATACAAACACTGACACTCATACTGCATCACATATACAAACACTGACGCAGATGTACAGATACAAACACGGACACACAGATGCAAACAATATCAAAACAGGCAGTCGTACAGACACACAGATACAACCATTGACACAGATGCAAATATGGATAAACAAATGCAGCTGTACAGACACAGATACAAACACTGACACACATACAGATGCACAGATACAAACACTGACACTCATACAGACGTACTGATGCAGATGTACAGACACACAGATGCAAACATGGATAAACACATGCATATGTACAGACACACAGATAAACACTGACACAGATGTACTCTGCTCCTTTTCATACAAAGTTATTTGTTAGCCAAGTCAGAAATCTGACTTAGAAATCTTCCAGAACTCCTCTATATTTCCACCTTTCTCTTTCTAAACACATACTTGCACACACCATTCATGGAATATATCTCCAAACCTAAAGAATTTCCACCAAGAAAGTTGGTAATTAAGCTGGTTTAATTTAATTAAAGTTAATAAATTTTTACTAAAAACTTTTAAATCATATTTAGCTGAGAAATATATGGTTCCATATTCCATCTGCAGGTGGAATAAATGAATAATATATTTACTGGCAATCTGAATTTAGGGATAGCAAATCTTTAATCAGAAAAGTTAATCATCTGCTGTGTTAAAAACATGGTTAAAATATTATTTTTTGGTCACTGGATGGAAGGAATAGTTAAATTGACTATTTGTGTAAAAATATTGTATCTTTTTAGTTGCAATATTATAGTGTTTAGCCTGTCAGAATTGTAGCCAGCAGTGAGTTTATTCACTGTGATTCAAACTAATAGCATCTAAGATTTTTACGACATTAATTGTATTACGGTCTGTGTAAAAGTATTTCTAAAGCTAAAAGTTTCCTGTAGTCTTGCTAAAAATGCATATATGTGGATATAACTGTTAATACAATTCTAGAGGAATTATTTGTAAGTTTGCATGTAACTCCTTTAGGAGTTAATATATTCATGTTGCTGGATATTGTTTCTATTAGGCCATCTTTAATTGTGTCATAACTGTTGCCATATCTTATACTTATTGTATACCTACATATTCAGTGATGATGTCATGTATGTTACATATTATTATTAATTATTTGTCACAATAAATTATATTTGTATTACCAGTTGTGATTAATGTGTGAAATACAAATCCTCTGATAAACTTACTCAGGGGTCTATAAGAATTAAAATAATGGCTAACGCTTTGCTTTAAATCAATCAAGGGGAAACGGTGCCAAAATATAATTTTTGTTAATATTAATAAAAATTAAATTCATTTTTGATAATTTTTATAAAATATTTTTTTATATTTATTACTCCATAAATATCCTCACAACCCATACAGATGATCTACACACACACACACACACACACACACAGATATACAATCTAGCACACACATACAGATGCACAAATACAAACTAACACACAAACAGATGCGCAGATACAAACACTAAGGCACATACAGAAACACAACTTGACACAGATGTACAGAGACACAGATTAAAAACACTGACAACTATAGAGATGTGCAGACACACAGATACAAACCCTTACACAGATGTACAGACACACAAATACAAACACTGGCACATGTAGATGTACAAGATACAAACATTAACAGACATACTGACACACATACAGATGTACAGATACAAACACTGATCCAGAACCACAGAAACAAATACTGACACAGATGTACAGACACATAGATACAATCAGATATCAACATGGAGGCAAAACTGCTGGGGTCTGAGCATTTCTGCTAGATATTTTACTCCAAAAGTGATGCAGGAACTACTTCTGACATACTCCTAGCACCATAATCCCTTAGTCTGTTGATGTAGTTATGATACCTACAGTGTTCCTTTAATGTATAAAAAAAACTTTCTTCAAACTGCAAATGCATCTTTTTATTCCTAATAAAATCATCAATAAAAGAAGAAATTCAAAAAATTCTAAATTCTAAACCAGAATAAAAAATTGGCACACTACAGAAATGGAGGGGTGGGGAGGCATCAACATATATGGTTGGAGTAAGAGTTTACACATAAAACCTGGTGAAGGTGTACAAAACTCAATGCAACAATTTTTACACATAACCACCAATATTTTTTAAACTAAAGGGCTAAGTCTAATAGAACTTTGCCAGGTAGAAAATTTATTTTTTCCTACAACATATCAACTGTTAATTTCTCATGATCATTTTCTTTCAACTACCAATCTTCAGACAGTTGGTAAAGAAACTAGGAGCAATAAGGAACAGTCACCACCAACAGGCTTTGGTTTGCTATGTGCTTAGACTTACCTGCTATAATGGCGTAGTCTGCAGCAACATCACAGGCAATGGTATCTCCATTGTTAATGTATTTCTTCACTGCTTGCTTTACTTTGCCCATCCCAAGCTCATTCCCACCGTCACCGATACCTAAACAAAGCAAGGCATTTTTAATTTTCTTAGAGTTTAAAAAGGAAATATGCAGAGTGTCTACCTTATCACCCCTGATATAAATGTGGAAAGGAATTCACTGTCAACATGTTGATTTGGGGTACAAGGCTTCTACATAAAGATTTCACTCCACTACATAGAACTGCTATTGGGAGTGATTGTTGCACAGGTTTTGTGATTGAGAGAAAGATGATAAAATATACATAAAATATGGGAACAGTAATCCATATCAACAGAGGACTATATCTCAAAATGCGGAAATCTCAAACTTTTACAGATGTGAATTCAGCAACACTGTTTTAGATACTCACCAGTTGTATTGACTCCACTAATTTGTTGGGCCATTAGGAAGAGGTTATCAATGGGATCTACCAAGTGTTTTATGTTTATTTTCCTGGCGTTGTAGTAATTGCCATCACTTGCACGCCCTGCCCGTTCAATTGCCACCAGGTGATCATACCTGTCAAAAAACACATAACGCAGACTGCAGTTTTAATAATAAATATGTTATCTCTGGTATGTGAGCTTATTGGGGTCAGAAATACAAATGTGTATTCCTGACCCTGTAGCGTTAAAAACACTTTCGGTGACCAGATCCCCCTGCACCTGTTAAATAAGTAAAAAAATATATATAATAAATGCTTTCCTATGGTAAAGCACTGGGGAAGTGAATGCAAACACGCTGCAAAGCGCCAGTCAGCCTATCCTCATAGAGATGCATTGAATCAAGGATGTCAACAAACTGGATAAATCAATAAAATATGCCAAAATATACAAAAAGTCACAAATTAAGTAAATGTTTTTGTACAGACACCAGACTGCTGATTTACTGGGGTATAGACAAACACTAAAGCAGGGCCTGACAAATATTTTTAGAAGTCAAAGAAACAATTTAGGAGTCTGAATGGATATCCATTCATAAACATAAACAAGAAATGACTGGTACTCCTAATAAAGGCCTCCATTTAATATTTTTGAATACACTTTGAAATATTTTTGAATACACTTTTAACATTATTTAATACTTACATTTTTATATATAGATTTTTTTGGTATTTTAATATTTTTAAGAAAAAAAAATTGTAAAATATTATCCCCAAAAATATGAAATAATTTGAAAAGCTCATCCACAAATATTTGTAGTAGCTATGACCAATAGTGATGTCCCGAACCGTTCGCCGCGGACTCATCATTGAGTAAACTTTGACCCTGTACCTCACAGTCAGCAGACACATTTCAGCCAATCAGCAGCAGACCCTCCCTCCCAGACCCTCCCACCTCATGGACAGCTCACTAAGAATGCAGCTTCACAATGAATGTAAAATGGATGCTGTCTGGGAGGGAGGGTCTGCTGCTGATTGGCTGGAATGTGTCTGCTGACTGTGAGGTACAGGGTCAAAGAACTAAATGATAAGTCTGCGGCGAACCATTCAGGACATCACTAATGACCAACGTAGGGTTTGTCAAAGTCAGCAAAAAGAGAAACGTTCAGATCACATGGTCCTGGGATAGATTCTACATCCATGGGCGTCCGCAGGGGGGGGCACTTGCCCCCCCCCCCCCCTGGATTTTTCAGCTTGTTCTGATATTTTTCGTGTGAGATTTAAAATGAACTGCAATACCGGCGCCGGCCAGTGTATGGAGAGAGACAGGGATAGGAAGCTGCATATTATCCCTGCTTCTCTCTGCTGATTGAAACCCCAGGGGAGCAACACATGCAGCCAGAGACAGCCTACAGATCAGGTAAGTGAGGGATGGGGGGAGGGTTTGAGAGGGGGGCAGCAGTCTATAGATTTGGGGGGGGACAGCAGCAGATAGATTTGGGGCAGCCCCATATATTTGGGGGCAGCAGCCCATAGATTTGGGGGAGGATCAGTAGCCTTTAGATTTGGGGGGCAGCAGCCTTTAGATTTGGGGGCAGCAGCCCATAGATTGGGGGGCAGCAGCCCATAGATTTGGGGAGGGCAGCAGCCCATTTAGATTTGGGGGGAGAGCAGCCATTAGATTTGGGGAGAGCAGCCATTAGATTTGGGGGCAGCAGCCTTTAGATTTGGGGGGGGGGCAGCAGCCTATAGATTTGGGGAGGGGGGCAGCAGCCCATAGACTTGGGGAGGGGGGCAGCAGCCCATAGATTTGGGGAGGGGGCAGCAGCCTATAGATTTGGGGGGGCAGCAGTCTATAGATATATAGAAATGAACAGGAAGGGTCAGCAAGGAGCTGGAAGGTAAAGCAGCACAAAGGTAAAGTTGAAGGAGCAGAAAGGGTCAGAAATGAGCTGGAAGGGGCAGAAGGAGCACAAACATAAAGTAGGAGAATGAGCAGGAAGGGGCAGGAAGGAGCAGAAAGGAGCACAAAGGGACAGCAAGGAGCACAAAGGTAAAGTAGGAGAAAGAGCAGAAAGGGACAGCAAGGCGCACAAAGGTAAAGTAGAAAAGGAAGCAGAAAGGGTCTGCAAGGAACAGAAAGGGATAAGAATGAGAAAGGAGCAGAAGGGCGCAAAATAAGCAGAAAGTAGCAGAAAGGTAAAAGAGCAGAAGGGGCCAAGGATAGAAAACAGTGTTAGAAGAAAAAAAAAGACTGTCAAATGAAGGAGAGGAAAAGGAGATTGGAGCAGGAAGGACAAATGAAGTGAACCCTCCACTTTATTCTGGACACCACATCATAAGGCTTTGCTACCTGGGCCAGGCAGGGAAATGCTGGACCTTCTCATCTCCAAAGGTAAAAAAATATCAGTATTAATGTGTTCACTTTTATTTACTGAGTGTCAGGAAGCACAGAGTGCCGTTGGGTAGGGGTGTTGCTGATTGGCTAGAGCGGTCCGCTGGCACTCTAAGCCAATCAGTAGCTCCCCATTCATAAAAAAGTAAAAATATTTTATGAACCGGGAACTAGCGATTGGCTTAGAGCGTCAACTGACCACTCTAGCCAATCAGCGGCACCCATGCCTGACGCCAATCTGCACTTCCTGACACTCTGTTTCAGAAGCCAAATACCACTGAGCGACCTGGAGCTGGAGGAAGCCTTTGGGGTTAAACCATTTGAGAGCGATTTAACCCTTAAAGGAAAGCGAGCACCCAGGGGCTTCCTGGCATCATAGCATTTTCATTTAGGTGAAGTTGTTATGGTGACCAGAAATGTCCTTTAATTTGCTTAAAGGAACACTATAGTGTCAGGAATACAAACATATATTCCTGACACCATAGTTGTGAAATTGCTATTCACCCTGGCTTTATGTGATAATGGCTATGCCCCTTCCCTTTCATGACACTGTCAAAAAGGTACCAAGCATGGATGTCATTACAATTATGCCCCCCCCTGGAAAAATTCCTGCGGACGCCCATGTCTACATCTGGTTACTTTTGAAATTTCCCATGATTGTCAAATAAACCTTACTATTGCATGTGGTTTTACAGATAATCACTATACACGCTATTTCTCACCTGGGAGTTGCCGGATTTCCATTTTCACACAGGAATTTGATGGCAGAGTCAGAAGACTCCTCTTTGTAACATAACAGAGGCACAGGGAATTGTATGACTCCTGGAGAGAAATAAATAAAGAACATTTTCCAAATCATTATTTGGCTTAAAATGTGCAATTCTCTGATCAGTTTTCCTAATTGCCTGTTTAGTGAATAAACCCTCAAAAATGTTGTAATGCTTTTCTCTTTTATAAATCAATTTGAATTGATGTTTTTTAAGTAATAAATTGCAAAACAATCATAACATATTACAAGGTGTTAGACAGCACTTGAAAAAAGCCATTACAAGGCAATTGCATATGTGAAAAGCAAAACATTTTGTAGTGTAAAGAGATGAGCACAACGAGAGTACAGACAGTTACAAAAGACTCATAGAGGTAATTTATTTCAGCAATATTAATCCCTTAAGGACACCGCTTCAGAAGTAAAAGGCTGGTATGACGGAAAGAGATTGTGGGCAAAAAGTAATAGAAGAACGGAGTGAAAATGGAGATGGGAGATGAAAATGGGGAGGAAGAGGACAGAGTTAAAGCAAATATTGTAATAGTCATAGGACTTTATTACAATAGTCATACAACTTTGCAGATACAGAATGTTAGAGAAAAAAGAGAAGAGAAGAAGGAGATCTTATATATGATGGCATGAGATCTGACAAAGTGTTTTGACATGATGCAGTTAAAGGGACACTATAGTCCCCCAAACCACTTCATCTTCATCTCTACATATTAAATATTAGCCTGGCTGTATGAATGGAAATTCCTACTCATTTAAGATTAGATGTATAAAAAGAGATGCCCTACTCATAAAAGGCAATTGTCACTTCAATCACATGGGAAGAAGGTGAAGAAAAAGAAGTAAGCAATTTTAAGTGTTTCATGTAATGGAGTAATTGTTAGAGAAGTGAAAGTTGCCCTGCAAGCATTAGTGAAACAAACAGAAGAGATGGCACTCACCAACTGAAGAGGCCGGGGGGGGGGGAGACGGCACTCATCAACTGAGGATGGGTGGGGGAGAGGGGGAAGAGGGGACACCATGGTGATTTTAGTGCCTTAGATAATTCTGAGAGGCAAACCCCACATATCACAGATATAAGCATTGTCAATGTGTTTCCAATAAACATGTTTCTTCAGGACTATATGAGAGCCGGATGCCATTACCTCTTTAAACATTAGACAACCTCTATAGAATGGAAGTTTCTACTGTTTTAGCATTTACATTGTGCTATATAGTATGGAATATCCAAATGATTTAACATTGGGTGGCCTTTATCGATCTGCTTATGATAAATAAGCTGGTACCTAACTGGTACAGCTATTGATTAAAATATGGTGGCATGGGCTGCAAATATTTCATAAGAAGTCAACATTTGGTCAACATAACAAATTACTGGACTCAGTTTAAAGGAGTATATATCCCAAACACTACAGAGACATCTCAGAATAGGAAGCAAAAGCAAAATTACCAACACAATTTTTGACGGCAGTTGTATGAACTAAATTACTTCACTTTATATCCAACAAAACTTGAATTTTGTATCCTCAAATTATATAGGCTTTGGGGGGGCGGGGCCGGACCGCCAAGCTGGATGGTCGCATACACACTCAGCTCCTGCAAGCCACCAAACTTTAAGCCTGAAACTATGCTCTTAAACACTAAAACCGACCACCAGCGACGGTCCTTGAAGCAAAGGGGATACTGGATCCAGGGTGAGGCTGGCTCATCGAGCTGCAGTCCCCTGGAGGAGCAGGCATCAATGCCCCAATCGGGGCCTACTCTGGCGGTAAGTGGGACAGACAGCCACTGCCCTGCCCAACAGAACCCTGCCCGGGGCGGGCCCAAACTTGTGTGGTCATGGCCTTGTTCCCCGCCTCTGGACCGGTGGGGGTGATCCTGGTCCACAACCTGGGGCCGAGACCGCTGTGACAGACCCTAACACTAACACCATGAAACGGGGCCTGGACACTCCAGTCAAGATGGCGGATGCCACGTGCACGGATGCCAGAGGGATGAAAAGCTCCCTCCCAGAGCCTGCAGCAAGCAACGAGACAACCAGGCGCAAGAAGGCTCGATGCCTGCCACTGCAGCAAACAAATACCCACCATGATACCCAGGCGAGACATCTAACAATGCAAGATCGAGGCTCCGGAGCAGGGGCAGGCCCAAAGCAGGAAAAAGGAGAGGTGTAGCGGGCCAGAGAGCGCAGCGCATTGCAGCCAACCGACACCCAGCAAACAAAAACCTACCCTCCAGATCCATCGGGGAGTGGGTCTCCCAGGCAAGGCACCATGCAGTGCTCCTAGAATGCCATACGGCGTATCACAGCCAGCTCCGACAAGCCCACGACGCATAAGACAACCGGAGCACATTAAGCCTAATGAGGACAACCACTAAGCAGAGACCGAAGCGGATTACCCACCACAACACCACTCAGACCCCCTACTAGCCCAATGCCCCATAGAGATGGACTCTCCATTAAAACTGAAGGACGGGGTGGGCTGACAGCCTTTACAGGACTCTGCAGAGGGGCAAAACACAGCTCCCTTACACCGTGTCAGCTCCGACACCTACATGGACGCTACCAGCCGAACACGACTAACATGCAGTTTAATCTATAATAACTGTCCCACATGTAAATATGGTTTAACATATGAGAATCACCTAGCATGCAGGTGTTGTTTAGCACTTAAACTGCTCTGTTTTTCACATGCTCTAAGACGGGGACTGCGGGGATCTGTCACTGACAATGCTGTACCTTAAATTGGGGCAGGGGAGGGTTATACTGACGTGTCTGGGCCCGGGGTAATATATGTCTAACTAAACATATATGTTTTAGATACCCCCTGTTTGAATTATATAGATACCCTCGTGGTGTTTGGCTCGACCCCAGTGGTGTAAGCAGCCACTTCTGTATACATAGCATGTAACTATACACATACTGTATAAACCATGCCTACTGCGTTTATGATACTTAATCAGCCTAGCTAAGGGTGTTTTCTTGTTATCAAACTTTACAATTAGTGGTTATTCCTCATGCCCTATGCTTAATTGGTCTGTCATGTTTAAACTGTATAATGCATCTATGCACGTTATATCTCGTTACTCATCAGATGACTACTCATGCATATCCAACCTAAACCTGTGCTTCCTGATGCATTGTCATCATTATTGTGATCTCTTACAATGTTTATTTTTCCTTTTACTCTTACAAAAAAATTTTTTTTTTTTAAAATGTGTGCAGATTGTCTTGACATACAAACTACTTTTGTCTCCCTACTGCTATACTAAATGTCAATGTATACCTGTGTTATTACCAATGCGCAAGAAAAATAAAGAATTATAAAAAAAAATTAAAAAAAAATTATATAGGCTTTGTAATAATGCCAAGGATATTATAAGTCTAAATAGTAATTAAATCCAAAATATATCTTTAAGAGAATCAAAAGTACCCCATATTATAATAAAAACACAATTTAAAGGACCACTATAGGCACCCAGACCACTTCAGCTAGGTTTAACCCTTTTTTCTATAAACATAGCAGAAACTGCTATGTTTATATTAGGGTTAATCCAGCCTCCAGTAGCTGTCTCATTGACAGCCGCTAGAGGTGCTTCCGTGCTTCTCACTGTGAAAATTACAGTGAGAAGACGCTGGACGTCCATAGGGAAGCATTGAGAATGCTTTCCTACGAGACTGGCTGAATGCGCGCGCTTTCGGCCGAGGAGGCGGAGATTCCCCCGCTGGAGAAAGAGGTAAGTTTAACCCCTTCCACCCCCTAGAGCCCGGCGGGAGTGGGACGGGGACGGGCACTATAGTGCCAGGAAAACGAGTATGTTTTCCTGGCACTATAGTGGTCCTTTAAACCTCATCTACTCTAAGAGTGGGGGTGTGATTGGGAAAGAGACTTTATACTATACCTGCTATTCAATTACAAAGATATAGTAAAGTTACAATATATGGAGTGTATGTTCAGTAATTAGATAACATTGTGTTTTTTTTCTTTTACGACTAAGATACTAAACAACCAAGGAATAGGGAATTTTTCAAGACCAGTTTGAGCTATGATATCAACAGGGATATTTGGATAGGTTGAAACCACACTGGTAGGCGGAACTAACTGCTGAAGTATTATAGGCTGAAGCCGATGTGAAGGTGGGCTTTAACACCTTTATAAACCAGAGATTCTCAGTTCCAAAAGTTTCTTCCCTGACGAAGGTGCTCTCTAAGCACCGAAATGCATGTTGGGATACTTTTTTTTCACATCACCTAGCACCATGCACTGATTTTGTTCACCTGTTTATTTTTAACGAGGAAGACATCTAAGTGGGTTATCTTTAGATGGTTGGAGGAGTTCAGCATTTCATTTTCATTTATGCCCTCCACCCCTCTGGGGTATTGGACGCCAAAGGTAGATCTCCAGAGACTTTTGTCCTGGGCCATTCTTTCTAGTTGACTCTAGGTGTAGCCCATCATTGTGATGTCTGCCTTGAGGTCGCGTCGCCGGGTGTTTCTTGGACGGCCTCTCTTTCCTTGGGGGTTCCACCTAAGAGCCTGCCTGGTGATGTTGGTTGGCGGTTTGCGTAGGGTATGCCCAATTCAGCCCCATCTTCTCTTCCAGATTTCTGCCTCTGCTGAAAGTTGTCAGGTCCTTTCCCATATGTTGGTGTTACTGATGGTGTCTGGCCAGTGAATGTGGAGAATCCTTCTGAGACAGCTGTTGATGAATGTCTGGATTCTTCTGTTGGTGCTTTTGGTTGTCCTCCAGGTTTCAGCCATGTACAACAGTACTGACTTCACATTGGAGTTGTCTTAAGGATCTTGGTCTTCTCCTTGTGGATGATGAGTCCAACCTGTGCTGATGTAGCTGACAACACTCTGATCTTCTCTTGCATCTGCTGCTGGCTGTGGGAGAGAAGTGTGAGGTTGTCGGCAAAGTCCAAGTAATCCAGTTGACTCTACAAAGTCCATTGGATTCCATTTCTGTGTTCGCTGGTGGATGTCTTCATGATCCAGTCGATGGCGATGAGTAAGAGGAACGGGGATAACAAGCATCCTTTTCGGACTCCAGTCTTCACCTGGAAGCTGTGGGTAAGCTGTCCTCCGTGGATCACTCTGCAGGTCATTCCCCCATATGAGCTCTTGATTAGGTTGACAACCTTGGCTGGAATGCCGTAATGCCGGAGGAGCTTCAATAGGACCTCTCGATCCACACTGTCAAACGCCTTCTCATAGTCGGCAAAGTTAATGTACAGCGATGAGTTCCACTCCAAGGACTGGTAGACTATGATGCGCAGCGTTGCAATCTGGTCCATGCATGATCGATTATGCAAGAAGCCTGCTTGTTCATCTCGCAGTTGTGGATCGACGACGTCCTTCATCCGCTCTAGGAGGATGCGGTTGAAGACCTTGCCTAGCACTGACAGGAATGTGATACCTTTGTAGTTGTTACAGTTGCTGAGGTCACCTTTCTTTGGAAGCTTGAATAGACAACCCTCCTTCCAGTCAGTCGGTATCTCTTCTTCCTCCCAGATCTTCTCGTAGAGTGGGTACACCATTTTAGGTCTGCTTTCAGGGCCTCTGCTGGTATGTCATCAGGTCCATCTGCCTTCCCGTTCTTCATCAGGGTGATGGCCACTTGGGCCTTGGCTTTTTCTGCCCTAGTCCTGCTGTTGTTTACTACCACCTTCTGTTTTCTCTCTTCTATCTTGACAAACGTCTCAGCTGTGATCCACTCTTTGTGGTGATATTTCTTTGCTCCGACCACTTCTTGACAGGCTGTTCTCAGTGTCTCTTTTATTGTCTGCCAGCTGGCCTGTACATTGCTTCTTTCCTCTTTCTCGTGCAGCTCATGTAGCACCTCAAACTTGTTCTTCAACTGAAGTCCAAACTCCTCCCTGACGCTGGTGATCCTTAGGCGGCTGACATCATACTTCACTCTACTCTGTGTTGTTTCCCTCCACTTCTTTAACTTCAGCTGCATGCTGGCTACTACTAGGTGGTGGTCTGACGCCACATCTGCTCCTCTTCTAACTCTAACGTCCTGCAGGGCTCTTCTAAACTTGTTGCTAATGCAGATGTGGTCAATCTGGTTCGCTGTCACACTATTCGGTGTTACCCAGGTGTTTTTGTGGATCCGCTTGTGAGGAAAGATGCTACCTCCAATGACCAGTTTGTTGAGCGCACACAATTCCGCAAATCTCTCCCCAGTAGTGTTCATCACTCCCAGCCCGTGTATCCCCATGACTTGTTCATATCCTGTGTTGTCGGGTCCAATCTTGACGTTGAAGTCTCCCATAAGGATGATGATGTCTCTGGCTCGGAATGGGTCTACGATTTTCTGCAGTCTATTGTAAAACTCGTCCTTCTTCATCGGAATCATTGGTTGGAGCGTAACTCTGGATGACGTTGAGCCTAACCTTTTTCTGTTTGGTTCTGGAGGCTGCTGTGATGATTCTGGGGCTTTGCGCCTCCCATCCAACCAGTGCCCTTTGTGCTTGCTTGGCCAACATAAAGCCTACTCCTTGCGTGCGGGGTGCATCACTCTCTTCCTGCCCGGAGTACAGCAACAGCTCTCCTGTAATCATCTCCTTTGTCCTGCTTGTGTCCATCTGGTTTTGATGACCCAGTATGATCAGGTTGTTCTTCTTCATCTCGGCAGCTACCTGCTTCATCTTGCCTGTCTCGTACATGGTCCTAACATTCCATGTGGCGATGTGGGTTCTCCTAGTCGAAAGAAGGGTAATTGGCTCGGTGGCTTCTTTTCGTCTTTCACCACCTATCATCAAGCGTCTCCGAATTGTCGGAGGTCCTCCATCTTCCAGGAAGTTAGTCTCTGTTTCTCTTTTTGGTGTTTCTGTAGAATTTGAGTTTTTTCCAGGGTGGGGTTGCTAGCCCCACGCCCAACCCTCCTCCTTTTTCATCTGGGCTTAGGACTGGCAATGGTGGAGTTGGTTGGAGTAGTTATACTGCAGAAATAAGGACTCATAGTTTAACTGGCACCCACAAAGGTGTCTTAGTGACTGTCTAGCTGAAGCTGCCGATATTCAGACGCATACATAGGGAAAGCAGTATGTATGCACAGCTCACTGAAGGAGGAGGGTACAAACCTACTTACCTTATGAGGTAAACTCTTTAGACATCCCAATCATAATTGCTTTTTTGGGGAATCTGGATAAGTTGATGTATCCTATATCACTGCTGTATTTAGTCCACTATATGTGAATCACTAAATACACACATAATTTTTCATTTGTTTGCCCTAAGCATTTGGGGTTATATGCTGTTCCATTTCCAAGCGCTGAGCCAATTTTTTTTCAGGATTCTAACGGTACACCCCCTGATGTGGCTTTAAGCCAGTCAACAGCTTAGTTGTACTCTCACCTATTAACCCTAGAGCACCACAGTTTGAAATTAGACTATTATCTCTAGGTCTAATTAGACCACAAGTTACTTGGGAATCTTATTTTCAAACCAATGTTTACATTGGACAATTGAGAGACTCTAAGCTACCAACCGAAATACTACCACTATTTTAATATTAAATGGATAGGATCATTTATAGGTAATACATTTTAGGCAACACAAATAAAGCCTTCTGGTTTACCAATTGGATAATTTATACACCTAGTCTCCACTATTAAGTGTTCACATCCTTGTTAAATGTTATATGTTGCACCAGGGCTTGACAAATTTGTTTGGAATCTAGGAGCCAGCAAAAAAAGTTAGGAGCCAGGTTTTTCAATGTCAAAAATACAATTCCTAAAGGGACAGTATAGTCACCAGAACCACTACAGCTTAATGTTGTTGTTCTCATATCGTTCTCATATCTATAATCTGTCCATGCACACTTTTCTAAGTAAACCCTTCCTTTTCAGAGAAAAGGCAGTATTTACATTGCTGCCTTGTAACACTTCTAGTGACAGTCACTCAGGCGGGCTCTGGAGTGCATCCTGGGTCAGTGCTGCACAGTGCACAGCAACTACGTATAGGGTCTCCACGCCCTGCATCAATGAGGAGATGCTTATTGGTGCAGCATGAGGTTTTGCCACATATGCGCAATAGCCTCGCAATGCTTTCCTATGGGAAAGCATTGGATTGGCTAAGATCATCAAGATTGATGATCGCAGTCATGGAGGCAGGGCCAGCTGCAGAGAGATCAGTACAGCGTGGGGGGAAAAGGTGAGCAAAAACCCCTTTCCCAAGTGATTGGAGGGGGACCAGTCATGTAAACACACTTACTCACTAACACACAAACTCACTCGCGGATGCGCACACAAAAACACTCACCGATGCACTCATACACTGACACACACTCACTCACACACACACACACTCACTGACGCACACACATTTATGTGAATACCCAGCCTCCCTACCTGGGTTCAGCTTTCCCTGTGGTCCAGTGCCCCTGCATCTCCCTGCACTGCTCCATAGAGCACTGTTTAGTGATGCCGGGGCCGGAGTTACGTCATATTTCGTCTCCCGGCATCACTGGAGGGCGCGCAAGGGAGGAGAACAAGGAGGTTGTTACAGCTCCCTCACACACCTGCCTATCTGCCTCAAATCTCTAGGAGCCTCTTGTCCGTGCGCACACAAACACTCTCATTTGCAAGGCCGCCCGCCCACGCTCTTCCTGAGCTGGTCAGCCGACCGATCACCCACACGCACGCGCATGCTCTTTATGAGCCTGCCAGCCGCCCGACTCCACTAACAGACAGCCGGCCACCTCGGGGGCTGCATATGCCAGCAAATCCCTGGCGCCAGGACAAAAATCCTAGTCACCAAGGCGACCTGACGCCTAGGATTTGTCAAGCCCTGTGTTGCACTCACCTTTTATCAGCCTATCTACTTATTAGTACCCAAGAGGAATTTCTCTGAGGAAATTTGATCTCCAAATTATTCTAAGTTTCTTTACTCTATGTTCTGTTTCTAGGGTTCATGCCCAGAGTGGGTGGGTACCACCAATACTGATCACCTCTGTTGGGAATATTTCTCATACAGGGGTATTAGTCATTTCTTCTATTGCCAGCTGTATGATATGTGCTGTATATTATTTTCCACATCCTTGGCGAGTACTGCCAACTCATGTCCCTGAATAAGGGGAGAGAGATCCGAATGCGCTACGTCCATTTGAAATGTTAGGCGGTATATGGTGTGGCCTATTTCCAGAAATTTGTTTAACTGAGGAAATCTTTATTGTAGCTTTATAATTAGTAGTGGTTATTTTGCATTGAGAATCTTTGGACTATTTCCTACAGTTTTATATCAAACCTTATAGGATTGATTTGTCAAAAAATGGGGTTTCCCGTGGAAAAAGGAGATCACCCCGGTCCTGAGTGATAACGCACACACAACTTGTACGTCAACATAGAAACTGATTTCAGGGGAAGAAATTAGACCACAAGAGAGGCTATACAGATAGCCATACCTAAAGCCATGATTTAACCTGCATCAACTATAAACATCTCATTAGATTTCTAAAGTATCACCTGTTTAGAAATATAGATTTGATTCACATGGTAAATCTGGTATGATTATCATTAAATAGTTTTTAGAACTTGCATACATATTATATAAATATGACATGGATAAAAATAAATAAATAGATCCCAAAAAAAAAAAAAGCAGTTGATGGATTTCCAATAAATCGGCATAGAGCCACATTTCCACCCTACCAGATCTTTATCAAGATCCTGATAAAGACCTGGTAGGGTCAAAACCTTGATCTATGCTGATTTAATACACAGAGTGATTAATTGAAAATCCATAGAGTGCTCTCTTTTTTTCATAGGGATATATACAGTATGCAGTGCTGAGAAGCACCCTGTTCTATACGGGGGTACATTATTATTTTTTGGTCAGAGTGCCAGACTCATCATTTGCTTTTATATTATATATCTATTTCATGTACTAGTTTAATAGGATTCATCAGTTTTTTTATACCTTTCTGACACAAAAAAACTCTTCACCAATCACAGCAGAACAGAGTGTCCTACTTTTACAATTCAATTTCTACCAAACTGCAGTGGACTAGGTTATAGCGAACATGTTAGTGTCCATGTTTGAGTTATAGAAATTCTATAACTTATTAAAACTGTTGCTAACACAAATGGTCTTAGATGAATAATGATGCTGAAAAATTCAATAAATACCCTTGATCTTAAATTATGGACCTAGTCTTAGACATTGAGCAGATGTATATATAAATGCCCTACCAATGTGTACACAAACAAAGTTATCTGCAATTTCAGTTAAGCTTTATGTTTATGATTTATAGCACACCAGGAATGGGTGACTGTTCTCTTTTTTTTTCTTGTCCATTCTCACTGGTTAAGCAAATAAGTTTTCCATAACCACACTGTGCTCTAAAACACAAAAGGTAAAAGTGTACTCTTTTCAAATAACATATCGGTAGTGTTGACTAGTAACAACTACTCAAACTTAAAGGAGGTGGGAATCTATAAAGATACACACAATAAGCTCAGATTTAGTAAATCTGTAATTAAAAAAACTTAAAACAAAATCTAATTACCAAGATCCGAATACTTTCAAACACACCTCAAATCATATAAGAAATTAATTATAGCACTTTAGATAGGGCGTTTCAGAACTGAGGAGACATAACAATTTAGTACAAATATACCTTGTTAATTGAAGATAATCTCTATAAAATAAGAAGAGCTACTATAGGCTTACAATAATTTAAATGTATTCCAATAAAAATAGCTACAGTGTCCTGTAATTCTATTCTACGTGAAGGCAGGTAATGATTCATTCTAACCTTCATTTTGTCCATATTTGTTTTGTGAGTTTGAGAATTGTTATAGTTTAAATTTGGTCTTGCAATACAAATAATGAAAGTAGTTTCATTACTTTGACAAAAGAACCTGGGAAATCATCTATTTACTATATTGTAAGGAAGTGTTCATAGTAGTCTAGAGCAGTGGTCCCCAACCCAGTCCTCATGGGCCACCAACAGTCCAGGATTTATGTATTTCCCTATTTCCCTGTGTTATTCCAATGGAGATACTGACAAAACCTGGACTGTTGGTGGTCCATGAGGACTGGGTTGGAGAACACTGGTCTAGAGGACATCGTTACGATCATGTAATTACAACAAAACCAGTTCAGGCTTAGAGAAGGAAAACTGAATATGAGTTGAAGAATTACGTATAAATCAAATCACTGACAATGGTGTCCAGTTCTGCAGTAATACAAAATACAAAAGAAAAAAAAAGTTCACTTAGTGTAGCTTACAACTCCCCCTCTGTTGCTTAAGGCAGGGGTAGTGAGAACAAGCTAGACAAAAATGAGGGCAGCAATAGTGGAAATACAGTGCTACAACTAATTTATTAGATTGTTAGCCATAAAACTCATTTTATTTGCTGTCCATGTGCTGTATCTAAGCCCTCTTGGTAACCTGGTGTTACATTATAAAAATGCTCTATTTTGTTTACTCTGTATTAGTTATGAATGGTGTAGCTATTAATATTTTATTCCTGGAAGCTGTAATCAGCAACAGCATTTAGTGTATATTACTTGCGATATGAGAGACTAGAGCTTTGTTTATTAGTACCATAACAACGCCTCGCAACGATGGAGAATGCCACGTACATTATGTCTGGCGTCACCCCGCCTGACAGCTGGAGCAATGGCGTTGATGTATTACTCTATTGGGGTAGTGCAGAGACATATGGATTAACTTTAGTTACTGTATATATATGTGTGTGTGTGTGACATTGTGTTTCTTGTTTAAAGACATTTTGTATTAATAGGGGCAACCCAAAACATCTGTACATACTCTGTGCCCTTCGATAATACACTTGTAGCACTGCATGTGCACTATAGCACTGTCCATTTTTGTACAACTTAAATATTTCCATAATGATAGCTGGAGAGAGAAATCAGAGTTAGAGCAATATGGGGGGAAAAACAAAACAAAACAAAAAACACAGGCGCACTATAGGTTAACACTGTGCTTATCCATTACTTTTGATCATATGTGAATAAGTCTATCTGAATGCCTTTATCTATATGTTTCTTTGTTTCCACATGCCATTCATTATCTCTCTGATATTCTTTTTGTGCTGTGCTGCTAATTACATTGATTTTATTTTTACAAAGAATAATATACTTTGAGCAATTCTCTCACTGACCTTCTCTGTAATTTATATATAGAGCTTTACAATCTACAAAAAAAAATATAAAAAAAACAAAAACACAAATAGTGTAATACTGTGTAATAAATATTGCACTCATACCAATGGACTTTTAGGTATCATCTACTGGAACGCAATTCATGTTCCCCATGATCCCGTAAGCATGTCATCGGACCATTTGGAACGCATTTGGTGTTTCCGCCGTTGCCAGAAATACGTCACCAAATTGACTTACATCGAGGCTTGAGATGCATTCATTGGATTTAGATGGGCCTGCACGAAGTCGCCGGACCCGACTGGCTGATTGGATTTTGGGATGGCGTGAAAAGAGGCTTTAAATAGAGAGTGAAGATCATCTCTATACACCCTTCGGATTTCCTTGAGGACGAAACGCATAGGGCTTTTAGGACTCCCATAGTGTTTGTATTATATATTTCCTGTTTAACTTTTATCCTGAGTTTGTTTCTGCACGACTGTTCCTGTGGACTGATGTAGCCATCCTGATCCAGACAACAGGAGCTTGTTGACGTGCCATATTTTAGTTTATATCCTGTGAGTGCAACTTTAATAAAGTAATTTAATTGGTTGGAATTGCTGCACTATGTATTTGTCTTTTTGCTTTCCCTCTATGCATTGAACAAGTGGGAAGAGGACATAAGAAGGATGTATACGTTAAAGCCTAACTACGTGCCTGACACAAACATATTTTTGTGAGTGCAATAATTACCCAATTTTTTTTTTTTTTTTGTATTGCTGTATTGCTGTACCTGTATTTGGCTTCTATAGTTGTATTTATATGTAATTTCACTTTACTCCACAAGGAGGTGTACGGATGCATCTTACTCCCCATACAGCTAAGGATTCATGTGCTAGACCTAAATGTACTGAGTGAGTCTAGTCTGTGCCTGTGACGTGCCAAAAACACTGAAGGAAATTATTATTCTCTTGTCTCATGTTGAAGCAGATGTGTTTTAAGTACCTAGATAGGGGATAACATGGTGGTTATAAATCACAAATAACATTATGAGTTTATGAAGAGCATTTTAACATTCTTAGTGACTTTCTAATGAAACCTCTATGGACGATATATATATTCCAGTTGCCGGTTTGCTACATAATTTATAACTTTAATCCTGCAGACAAGCATGATCTATACAGTGTACATTATAAAACTAGCAACCTTTAGTTGGCAGAATGTCACATAAGAACACCATCAATTATGATCAATGCAGTCACAAGCAGCTTGAATGTCAAGACAAGCTACCACTAATCTAAGGCATGACAACGCCAGGCTACCAACTGAAAATAATAATAATTCAATGTATTTACCTTGCTTTACAGCGAGGTCAATAAGGTTCTTGTTCAGATCAAGGGCTCGCTGGTCTGTTACAATGGCAACCGTTTTTCCCAGAGCTTGTAACATAGCCGCCATTGCAATGGCACCAGGGGGGCCATCAGTTTCTTCTGGAGGATTATGTTTAAAGTGGGTTGGAAACCCAGTGGTTATAAGCACGGATTTGGCGTGAGACAAAGACAGACTTGATCTCAGAAGTTCATCCTTAAGAATAAGATGTTTTATCCCCCTGTCACCTAAAAAACAAGAAAGGAAAATTGTAACATTTTCAAAGGCATCCCTAGTGCAAGATTTACTACTCTGCCAATGATTAAATATGTCCCTCAGGAGACATATAAGGAGATGCGTCACAAATAAAACATGAATACAGTCTAAAGTGACTAAATCACAAGTGTTTGTGTGTCAGTCTGAAAAAGAACAACATCAGCGTAGAATTACAATTATTTATATAGCACCAACATATTCCTCAGCGCTGTACAATAGGTAAACAAAACAAACACTAAATTCTAACAAAACATTATTGACATACTGGAACAGTAGGTAAAGAAGGCCCTGTAAAAATAAGCTTACAATCTAAAATGTGAATGTCAGTCGAAAAATGAAAAATCACAACTGTACGTGTCAAGCATCTGATTTGCATGATTTTGAGAGTATATATCCCATGATGCATAATCAGTCTGAGAGGAAGTATCATAAAAATGCATTTGTAAGTCTAAGTGAAAATGACTTTAACCTATGCCTATTGATCTGAGAGTTAAAAAAATCCCACCTTGTCATTGTGAGAGTGAATGAATTCCACTTGGGTGAAAGTCATTCTGAATGTATCTATATACCACTATTGTGTATCAATCCAAAAACATAAATCACAACTGTGCATATTACTTTGATTTACAGATTATTTTAAATATTCTTTTATCACCTGGATCTATGCCAATGATGCTTTCTAGGGACCGAATTTTTTCTGCTGTCCTTTGTGATAAGAGACTGTAATGCAGAGGATCAGATGAAATTTGCACAATGTCCGGGATATCCATGGATTCAGTGTTAGTTATGTCCTTGTTTTTAATATCCGTAATGAACATACAGCCAGGAGAATGAGTGAAAGCGAGCGGAGAGTCTGATTAAAAACAAACAAAAAAAACACCACACGCTATATCAAAACATACGTTTAAATATGTTATTTAATATTCAGAATGTTAACTCATACAAATGCGCCCCCGACATTTTATCTAATTTCAACACACTATATAAACAAAACTAACATTTAAACTTTTATAGTTAACCAAGATAGTGGAATTGTTATATTTCAAAGACTAGTCAGGTTTGAAATCAAGGATCTTTGTCACTTTGGTGTGTTTTTATTGAAAATAACTTTACAAAATAACTGAAAAGCTTTTATCAACAAGTGTTACAATTCTGAGGATCCCCATTCCAAACGAAAAGGGTCACTTTTTAAAAATTCTTTATTTAAGAAACAGGAGAAAACTGTTGCAGCATATTTCTAAAATATAAGCTGCTTGATTTGACTGCTGCCAACACAAGAGTCAACACAATAGTCAAGTACATGGTTTGACGAGGATGGTATACAATTACTAAATATCCTGTAATAACCAAAGCATATTTCATGTACAGTTTTGGATATGACAATGTGGGTAGACCTGAATAATGCTTTTATTTTAACCCAAGACAATAAAAAAATGAGGCCAGTGGTAGGGTAGAAACACTTGTCTGATCTTACCCGTTATTGTCACACTATAGATTTGTAGTCATGCCAGGGTTCCCATATCTTATAAAACGTACCTAGAGAATTATATACTGTGGAGGTAACATGGTCAATAAAACCGCTATCATAGGTGGGGTGAAAACCTTTAACCAATTCGCTTTGATGGCCCTCCAAGGTGCTTTTATTGAATGATATCTGTGATTTTCTTGGAAAGCCTTCCATAGCTTGGGAGAGGAGAAATTACAAATGGCCTGAGGAAAACCTCCATCAAGTGTCCCCTCACCTTTTTCCAGAAGGTCACTATTACAATGCAGGACCACTACATATGAAAGTAGGAGCCTCTTTGACCACACGATCTCCAGCACTCATCTGAGCAATCCCTTCCATTCTGTGTAACTGAAGAGGAGTGGTATTCCATCTAAATAATATTTTGTACATTTGTTCTTGACACGTTACACAAATCAACACTTTGGCGGCCACCTCCCACATCTCTTTCCAATTGTCGCTGTCAATTTCTCTACCCAACGCCTCCTCCCAATCGGATAAGTATCTCATATGTCCCCAGACTGATGAGTTTGTGCATATGTGCTTCTAAATTACTGATATAAAGCCCTTACTATAAATTACTTGCATGCAAAGGTCCTCAGAGAGTGTAAAGGATTCACATGATTGTTGATTGGTGTGCAAAGTTGTGAGTTTGTACAATGTAGAAGAAATTATGACTTTTTAGAGGGTGTCTCTCTTTTAAGTAGCAAAGCGGACTATGGAAGGTTTGTCCCACAAATGTAGATATTACAGAGCCCCTGGCTCCTCTAGGTTCCCAAACACCTGTGGCTGCAGCCCAGGTGGAAAATCTCTGTTTCTAAGAATTGGTGTTCGAGGTGAAGGGTTAGAGCTTAACTTGAATTTGTATCTAATTTTATCCTAGATAATCAGGGAAATTAAAGGGACACTATAGTCTCCAGAACAACAACAGCTTAATGTAGTTCTTATGGTATAACAGGTCCCTACAGGCCTTTTAATGTAAACACCACCTTTTCAGAGAAAGGGAAGTGTTAACATGCTTAGTAACACCTTTATTGGCAGTCACTCAGACGGCTACTAGAGGTGATTCCTGGTGTTGCAAAATGTGCAACACTGCTGTTCAGCGTCTACACATTCTGCATGGAGGCATTTAACGTTCCTCATAGAAATGCACTGATTTAATGCATCTATATGAGGAGATGCTGATTGGCGCAGCGCTGCATTTTGCCGCACATGTGCGGTAGACTCTTCATGCTTAGCTATGGGAAACATTGGATTGGCTGAGATCATCAAGCTTAATGATCTCAGCCAAGGGGGCAGAGTGTGGACAGAGCCAGCAGCAACAGAGGTGGGGGCCGGGGGGAGGACAATAGGTCCCCCTGCCCCATTGTCTTTTAGGGCCCCCACCAGCCGCTTATCGGCACTAGGTCCCCTCTATTATCATTTAGGGTCCCCACACTAAAGTGTTCTCTATGTAGGGGTACCCCATTCTAATAGCAAGGGATTGATTCAGTGAGTATTGGTATTATATTATTGAGCCTTTACTGTTAGTACATCCTATCCTCCTAACTTACTTTATCATTGAATATATACTGTCCTAGAGGACATTCTATGTAGGGATAAGGTCTCTGTATTAATAGAAGGAGATTATCTATACCTCTGCGCATCAACTGGTAAAGACTGAACCTTTTTTTTCACATCTCCATTTCCCCCCCTGTATTACTAACGATCCGGTTATATAGACTTCTGAACATTACAGCATATGTACACACTTATTATTACATCCTGTTTAGTCTAACTGATCTGTTATTTTCACACACCACGATCTCAGGTTTAACTCAAGAGTACCCTTTACCTAACTCCCTCCATTTTTTCCTGTGAAACACACAGTTAATTCTGTGTATTATCTATACAGGATAATAACAAGCAGCTTGTTACTTTTGTAACACATTGATCTTAATTACTAAGTTGCTACTTCTGTAGCCTGTGGAGTTTCCAGTGGTAGGGCTTATATCTATGGTACAATTCTAGCAGTCTTAACTTTCACTTTGATCACTGATTTTGCAAGTTTACATGTTACTTTAGTTATTTATGTATATATATCTTTTTCTTAATAAAGTTTATTATCTTACATTGGTTTTTATTTAAGAGGTAATCTCGGTAAGGCTGGTTGGCTTTCCTAGTTTGAAGCTAACGATCCTCATTAGCTATCTTCATTGATCAATTTTAAGGTGTATTCTTACCTCTGTAACCCCTTGGCTAGGTTTCTCCTATCCTTGGGTAATTCTTTCAAAGATAAAAAAAAAAAAAAAATGTAGTATTTTAGGGGCATTTGGGGGTGACTAGGGGGTTAAAAAAAACAAACAAAAAAACGGATGCGGCCATGACAGTGCCGCTTTAATATGGTATAAAAGCGGTATAGTATATTTAAAAAAAAAAACACAACTAATGAAGAATAATTTACAAATAGGCCACCAAGGCCCAACATAAAGGTAATCTAACATTTCTATGCAGACAATGGGAAAGATTATTGCGGACTTGCAGACAGGGGCATGTACTGCAAATATAAAAAAAAACAACTTGTGTTGGTCTGTGGAAAATCCTTTTACAAAGAATAAATAGGCCCCAAAGCCACATTTTTTCAACACTGTTGTTAGTTCCTCTCTGCTTAATGGACATACATTAGGACACATTTTATCGGGCTTGAATAATTTGTTTGTAATAAAGTTAATCAGTTTATGCTACTACAATGTGATAAACTATATACACTGCAATACATGCATTGCACAAAATAAACCTTAATTCATTACTAACAAGATATCTGACCAGATAAGGAGCGGTACTTGCCTGGAATCAGTGAAAGTATATATCTTGTCAGCAATATGCTTTGGTCTACATAGAAGTTGTTGTAATCATTTGGTTTTCATCTTGTATTGTAATATTATCAGGTAGAGTCCATAAACTAGCTTTATTGTAACACGATATAATAAATCATAAATTACTCAGTGCAGCCATCACTCCAAAGCCAGTTATCTCAGGGATATTTAATAAACTGCCAATTTAAAAATATGTCAAAAGAACCAAGCTGGTAAAATAGTTGGAGAATTGTTCCATTTCAGCTATTTTGGCTTAGAATTTGCATCATCGGGCATATGCCAGTAATTAACATTGCCTGTGCATAAATTAAGATCTGTTCAACATACAGTGTGTGTGACAAAAGATAATACTTACTACAGCTACTAACGGCTTCTGCGCCAGTTACTCCACATGCCCAAAACACTGGAATATCCCCTGCATGAAATTTCACTGGGTCTCCATAATCTGTTTTCTGAAGATCATTTATACCGAGGAACTCTAATATAAAAGAAAAAAGTTAGATAATGTGTTATGTGTATCTGAAAGTATGATAGTAACATAAAAAAAACCAATATACCGGTACTAGTATTTACAAAGCTAAAGAACTTGTTGCAACTATATAGACTTACAATCCATAGCCTTCTAATGGTTGTTCTAGAACACACTAACAAATGGTGAAATAAGAGACAATAATGTAATGATTCCTTTTTGCTTACTAATCTGTCTATTATAAGAAAGCTGTGCAAGTTGTGCTTTCAATGATCAGATTAGCGTGGTGTCTTTAATGGACACTAATAAAAAAGTTTAGCTTAATGAAGCTGTTTTGGTGTATAGATCATGCCCCTGCATTATCAGTGCTCAATGCCATGCCTTGTAGGAGTTCTATCACTATTGTAAACTGCTCTGTTAAATTGACATTAACTCATCCACACAAGAGGGTGCAGTAGGCTCTAGCATGCAAATAACAGAGGAAGAGGTAAAAAAATCTATTTAATAAGGGATGCTAGAATATTTAGTCGTCTTTTTCAGGAAGTGTGTAGGGAAGCTGTCTGTGTTACAGCCAGGGTAGGCGTGGCTACGGCTGCATAAACAACGTGATTTACAGTGAGACTACAGAGTAACAATCAACACACCAAAACTACTTTACTGTTTTGTTTTAGTGCTTAGTGTGTCTCTTTAATATCAGTCAAGTCAATAGGGTACAGAGTATTACATATGAACATTACACATGTCTATTAAGGGCTGACAGACCTGGGCATCCTATGTGAACTGGGGCTCCGTGATAGTTTTTCATGGGTTGTGTTGCTCTCACTGCAGACTCTAGCTTATCCAAAGGAATCGGCCTCATGGTCACCACCAAGTTGCAAGAAAAATTTCCAACTGGTGAACAGGGAACAGAGGTCTACAGAAAATATGCAGATATACGATATACATTCTGTTTTAAAATTTAACTTAATCAAAATTATTTTTCACATGATAAAACTATTAATGGTCTTATTTATCAGAATAAATAATTATAATGATATAATTATAAAGAATTTATAAAGCGCCAACAAATTCCACAATGCTATACAATGGGTGGACAAACAGACAAGTATTTGCAACAAGACGAGTTGGACGCAAAGGAACAGAGGGTGTTAAAGGCCCTGCTCAAACAAGAGCACATTCTAGAGAGAGTGGGATAAATAATCAAGATTGATGATATCAGCCAATTTAATACTTTCCCATAGGGAAGTACAGGAATGCTAGTGCATATGCTCAGTAACTTGTTGCTCCAACCAAATGTTCTCTAGGAGAGCATTTGGTTGAGAACAGAGCCTTTTCTCACAGGGAAAGCTCCTCTAGCGACTGTCAGGAAGAATGCCACTAGAAGTGTGTCTCACCCTGCAATGGAAACATTGCAGTTTCTACAATACTTCCAATGCGAAATAAGTGACCAGAAATTTGTTTTTAAAGGAACACTAAAGGGTCAGGAATACAAACATATATTCCTGACCCTATAGAGTTAAAACCTCATCTAGCCCCCGTACCCCCCTTGCCTTCCTAAATATAGTAAAATCTTACTTGTATTTAAGTCTCTATAAGGAAAGTTCAGTGTCTGCCTTTATTCTCAGTTACATTCTCTTTAGCAGAGTTGACATTCATCCCAAAACAAGATTAGTACAGAATCAAATGGTCCATTTCCCATGATTCAGTTGGCTATAACTAAAACGTATAGACACTGCAGTCTCTAACTGTTGTATGTCAGAACGCTAGATAATGTGGACTATGCTACACACGTTGTACTGATGCCAATTAGTCTTAAATCATATGCAGGACACGACTGTCACCTACCGTATACATGCTAACATTGCACCCTTGCTCAACATTCCTTACAGGGACTCCAAGATTCTCCACTGCACTCTCAAAAGAGAAGCTACAGCCCAGGTAAAAGGTCACCATGTTCTTCAGCTGCTCAGCATAACTTTCAAGGTTACTCAAACTTCCAGAGTAGACTCCATTTTCATATCTCCTGTACATTAGGCAGTCTGTTCTATAATTATATACCAAAAAAACAAGTAAAACATGGTGCAAAAAAAATATTTGTATAAACTCTAATCAATATTGACGTAAAAGCAAGTGAAATAACTCAATCAACACTAAATCTAACAATACACACAAAAGATCGCTCACTGAGAAACTATAAATAGTTTTAAAGTATTTTATATAAAGATCAACACAACAGCTTATTTATTCATCTCATAAACTTTGTCAAGTGAGGATTCGCGTGTGGAGAAAATGCAGGGCTTATCTTTACGAATTTCTAGTAATCCAATATTCGTAGTAGAGACACGTAGCAGTGCCTGTCGGAACCCAGGTAAGAAGTCAAACTGTTCAAAACTGGTTTGAATTCTTACAATGGTGGGCACTAAGGCACCCTTGGCACCATAACCACAACATCAAGCTGTAGTAGTTATGGTGCTTGGAGTGTTCCTTGTAACCAAATAGATCATAATTGAGATTACAGATTGCACCATAATTTATGCATAACTCAATAATGTTTTAGAAACACGTATTCCTTGCATTGTACATAATAAGGAATAACCAGTAGCTAGACTAATGTGTCTGTACAGCCAGTTAAATAAAAGTCCCTGTTTGCCAACCTTACATTTAATCTGCTCATACATATCCAATAGCAATCTATTACGATCTTAATAAACCTTTCCTCACTTTTGGTATGCATGTCGCAATGTACTCACTGAATATCTGAATCTTTACTCAATGGAGGGCATTTCCGCTCTCCTGTAGCACTCCTGTATAATAAGGGGAGAGGGCCATTGTTAGCCTGGCAAAACTTCTCAAAGTCATCTGCTAGGGACTTGTGCAGGATAACCACATTGGCTTGGTTATAACCTGAAACATGAAAAGAGACAAATCTGTTTTAATGCTGGTCACATATAAGCCAATTAACTGAAATGCCCAATAGCTCTTCATTAAACTAAAGTTAATTATTGTCTTTCTTTTAGAAAAAGTGCCTGAGCTGTAACAGTGAATGCACTAAACTGGTTTTCAGAGAATGTCACAAAAGGAATTTACACCATGTTAAGAAAAACCTTTATAATGAATGTGGTTTCCTTGTTTGATTATAGTTGTCAATGAATATGCATGAGCGAAGGTGGACACACCAGCATGAGCCATTAGCGTTCCAAGGTGACTCTAGGTTCAGAATTTATAATAATGCATGAAAAACTTAATTAGTAGTTCCTGAAACATCACACTAGTTCCTAAAAATGCTTGATCCTGTCTCCTAAAGGCTACTGCAGCACTAAAACAGTCACCAGCTACTGATTTAAAAGAATACTCCAATAACCATAACTACTACAGCAGTAGTGGTACCCGGCAAGAGTCATTTATCAAATTGTTAACTGGGTCACGCGGGCCCACATGCCACATTTGATCTTCTCCTTCAGGAGACGCCAGATGTCTCCCCATAGCTAAGCACAGCCCAATAGAGGGACATTGGCAAAGAATGCACAATTGACGCTCTTAGCCAATGATAGCAGTAATACACGGTCCTGCTTGGCTATTGGATGAGAATGCACAATTGACGCTCTTAGCCAATTATAGCATCTATACATGGTCCTACTTAGCTAAGGGAGATATCTGGAATCTGTTGCAAGTAAATTCCAGATAGAAGGCTTTGGCTGCAAGTACAGAGTGGTACCCAAGAAAGTTGTCAAACTGTTATAAATCAGCATGATCCCCATTGCAATATGGTGCTTTAAACATCCTCGTCCTATGATCACCCCTATACTTTAATTATGGAGACAACATACCATCAAAATTCCACCTTACTAGCCAAACCACATCACTACTACCTGTCTCTCATATCCCAATGTTTCGTCCAGGTTACTCTGGCCTTTGTTGGCCTCTCTCTGTGTAGCCCTATAGGATGTATACTCAGCTGCAAAGCTAAAACATTAATGGAGCTTTGCAATGATCTTATTCTAACCTTTATGGACAGGTTCTGTTACCATCAATTACATCTTTTCACCTTTCATCCACATCCCACATACAGTGGCCATGTCATCCATTACTTTGAAAGCATATACTTGCATTAAACAACTCGCCATTGCAGAAAGCATTCTACCCTCAACTGCCACCACTTACTAAAGCCTGGTCTACTGACATTTTCCATGAAGTAACAGAAAAGGATTCTACTGCACCCATATCAGTTTTATGAGCATTAGTTGGGTGGAAATGAATTATAAGTTGATAACCCTGTTGTATAAGATACCATCCTTCAATTGTCACATGCACCCCTCAATACCAGACACATGCTTGAAGTATCAGAGAGGGCAGGGTACATGCTTTTAGATCTGGTCGGACTGTCCCATTATTCAACCATTTTGGAAATAAATCCCAGTTGCCATAATTAAAGTATCCAAAACCTCTCCCCTAGGAACGTAATTGCTTTTTCTTCCATTTTTTTACCCAGAACATCTGCATAAATATACCCCTTTCTATAGAATTAAATTCATTAAATGCGGCTCAGGCATTAATTCCTACGTTTCGTCATTGTTCTGAAGGGCCTTCTATCGCAGAATGGATGTATAAAGTGAACAGTATCAGGTCTTTAGACACAATTCCTTATCAGACTGGAACTTTGACTAGACACACATGTTGTTTCTAACCTTACCTTCTTAAGTTAAACATAGCTCCCTATTGTCCAGTGTACGACTGTATGTTACCATTAAAGGAACACTATAGTCACCTAAATTACTTTAGCTAAATAAAGCAGTTTAGGTGTATAAATCATTCCCCTGCAATTTCACTGCTCAATTCACTGTCATTTAGGAGTCAAATCACTTTGTTTCTGTTTATGCAGCCCTAGCCACACCTCCCCTGGCTATGATTGACAGAGCCTGCATGAAAAAAAAAAACTGGTTTCACTTTCAAACAGATGTAATTTACCTTAAATAATTGTATCTCAATCTCTAAATTGAACTTTAATCACATACAGGAGGCTCTTGCAGGGTCTAGCAAGCTATTAACATAGCAGGGGATAAGAAAATCTTAATTAAACAGAACTTGCAATAAAGAAAGCCTAAATAGGGCTCTCTTTACAGGAAGTGTTTATGGAAGGCTGTGCAAGTCACATGCAGGGAGGTGTGACTAGGGTTCATAAACAAAGGGATATAACTCCTAAATGGCAGAGGATTGAGCAGTGAGGCTGCAGGGGCATGTTCTATACACCAAAACTGCTTCATTAAGCTAAAGTTGTTCAGGTGACTATAGTGTCCCTTTAACTTTGTGTTCATTTTGTACGCTTGAATTCTACATTCTCCTATTCCATTGGCGATCACACTGTATGACTAAATGTCAAATTGAGCAAACATTAAAATTACAATTATTTATATAGTGCCAACATATCAGGCAATACTGTACAATAGGTTAACAAGACAAACATTTAATTCTAACAAGACATATGGCAACAGTAGGTGAAGAGGGCCCTGGCAAAACTAGGTCACCATTGAAAGATTTATCTTATTTGTTTGAGGCACTGCTTTTACCATTGTTTCAATAAAAATAAAAAATAAACAAAAAACAAATGCATTTGACTAATTACTCTGGGAGACTACCTGAGCAGTCCCAGCACCATAGCAAGTGATCTGTAGTGGTTATGGTGCTTGGAGGGTTGCTTCAAAAACTGGTCTATCTCTCTGACAGAAGAAGGTGTTTTGTATACTCTGATTTACTCTAGGTTTTAAATTTTAGGGCTGAATCACTAAACTGGGAATTATGGAAAACTAACAAGTGAATAGCAAATGTTGATCAAAACAAACAGAAGTAGAAAACAAAATCTCCAACACAGCGATTAGGACTGTAATTGAATGGATTGCTTTGGAGGTTTGGTAGATTAATAAAAAATAAATATGGTCCGACTCAGCTGTTTTTCCAGGTCAGTTACGGTTAAAAATTTGCCATGATTTAATGAACAACCACAGTAAATCTAAATTCAGCACACATAACAAAAAACTAAACAAGCAAAAAACTACTAAGAATAAAGCAAAACCTAACATCAAACAAAATAGAACTGTTGCTTTATTTGACGTCTTATACAACAAATACAGGCATGAACACAGTAGCAGGTGAGGTATAAATACATAGCAGTTCTGAGTGTAAAGTAACACTACAAATATAAACTCTAGCAAACTGACCTACCTGAAGACATCCCTGATGTGTTTGTCACATTGATCTTGTTGTATCGTATTAACCCCCTGACTGCTGCTGGAGCTAGTAATCGCAATCGCTGCAAGCACACCATACCATCAACCTTCCCAAAAGAAGAGAACAATATGAATATATGTACATTCCACTATAAATAACATTTCATGGGAGGAAAAGAGGGATATTAATATCTATATATATATATATATATATATATATATATTTTATTTTATTTTTTAACACCGGCATTGGTAACTTTAATCTACCCTCTCCCACTCAAGAAAAAAACAACACAAAAATTGCAGGCTGGGAACAGAGGGCGATCTAGAGTACACTGTGCCGATTTCCAGTCAACACCACACATGGAGGTCTTTTGCAGTACGGGCATAGGCTAACTCTGCTTACTTACTATTTATTACCATTAATAAAGTCAGTCTCCCCACAACGGGAGCACCACCGATCGCCGCCGGGGGAACGACGGCGATCGGGTAAGTACATATTGCCGTTGTGACGGTTCAGGACCGTCAGCGTTCGTCAACGGTAAAATGCCGATGACTGACCTGAACCGTCCACGGTCGCGAAGGGGTTAATGTAAGCTACCTATTGCAACAAACATTTGCTAGTGCCTGGAGTACCCCATTCACCAAAACCAAAACAGTTTCCAAGATCCAGTAACTGAGATCTCACCTACAACATATTCATAATGGAAATGGTTAAAGCGATCCTATGGTGCCAGGAAAACAAACCCGTTTTCCTGGCACTATAGGGTTATTAGGTCCCGCCTCCCTCGGAGACCTCACCCGCTGGGCTGAAGGGGTTAAAACCCCTTTAGCCACTTACCTTAATCCAGCGCCGGTGACCTCTCCTCCCCCTGCCGACGTCAGCTCCCGAGTGGAGCCGAAAGCGCATGCGCGGCCAGGGCTGCACACGCATTCAAACCATCCATTACTCAATGCTTTCCTATGGATGTCCAACGTGAGCTCAATGCGATGAGAATGAGAATCTCGGAAGTGGCCTCTAGTGGCTGTCAGGGAAACAGCCACTAGAGGTTGGATTAACCCTGCAATGTAAACATAGCAGTTTCTCTGAAACTGCTATGTTTTCACTGCAGGGTTAAAACTAGGGGTAACTGGCAACCAGACCACCTCATTGAGCTGAAGTGGTCTGGGTGCCTATAGTGGTCCTTTAAGAGTAGATGACTCTTTAGTGAATAATGCACATTTCAGAGTTATGCTGATTCACTAATGTCCCTTTATAAGCTCCCTGCTATCCCTTCTTTAAAATTTTAGTGCTGGATTATTTATCTTTGAGAGAAAAACACCTCCTGCCCCTCTACGCTCCCCCCCGCCCCCCCAAAGAAAAACACCTCCTGCCCCTCTCTCCGCTCCCCCCTCACCCCCCAAAGAAAATGAGCAAAATCAGAGAGTTAATGAATAGAGATCTAATTTAATAGAGAATGAGAGATTTTCTTAGTCAAGGCATTCCCTATTCTGTTTAGGACATTTGTCCCTCTGATTTGGTTTTCCAGATTTGATCCTTAACTGATCCTACAGGGAAGAAGGTTTAGTATACATGAAAATAATTCTCGGACAATTATATAGTAACTTACCTCTAATTCTGAAAAAAGCTCCATTACAAGCTCTAGATCTTCCTCTGACAGACAACATGAAGATCTTATCACTAAAGCCAAGAGCACTTCAACATTGTCAATTGTTAACTAGCTGGTCAAAGATCTAAGTCAAGATTTGTACTCATGTTTCAAAACAAGTTTCTAAATTGTATCTTAAAGCGGACAAATTAAATGTTAAAATTTTAAACAAAAATAGTTAAACAATTTGAATTAACAGTATATTATAATATGGTGCAATCATTGAATTGAAGGGAGCACCATAACAACCTATGCTCAATGGAAAAGTGGAAAGTTCTTAAGCGAACACTCCATTCACCATAACAACTAGAACAAGCTCAGACAATTATATTGACAAGAATGCCCTGGTGTCCCTTCAACGCAAGTAGTCAAAGTGTTTGCCAACAGTTTGACATCATGCATGGGGTCTGTCGTGATTTGCTCCCTGCTTCCTTTATCTCTCCTGAGACAAGTCCTACAGTGCAGGGTTAGCTTATGGCTGAGAGTGTGTGTGTGTGTGTGTGTGTGTATGTATGTGGGGGAACAAAGGGCAGCAATATAACCAGTACTGTGGTAAGCTGAAAGTTATAGTGCTTTGAACTTACCATTTGCTTGGTAACTTGTTCTTAAGCGAGATATTCACTAAAGTGAGAATTGCAGGGAATTCAAAGTGAATTCAAAATTGAAAGCCGAAGTTGCCGAACTGAAAGCACTGGAACTGCAATATTTTACATTGCAACACTAAGCACAAAAGGGACATAGCACCCAGACCACTTTAATTAGCTGAAGTGGTCTGGGTGCCTACAGTGTCCCTTTAAGAAAAACTGGCATAGTCAATTAAGCTTGGCTGCTACAAAGTGTACTTAGAGATATTCAGAAGGTAGTCTGTGGTATACAGGAGAGGGGGGGGGGAGAGAGGGAGTAAGATTTTGTTTTGATTTAGATTCACCACCATTAAAATGTCAGACTTAGTTCAGTGTAATAGTGGTTATGCATTTGTTTCACATTCCACATTTTGGAGGTTTAGATTTTAGATGTGGTGTAATCCGTAGACAGTTTTCTATATTACAGCAGAAGACTGTATTTTTGAAGTCTGAGATTTGGACGGTTTCAAAGCCACTGGCGCAGAGGCTTCCTAAGAATAGCAGATGGATTACTGTAGAATGTGATAGACTTAGAGTTGTGGATAAAAGGCAAATTGCACAGTCTGTGTCTCTACACAATTAATTTTCAGCACTTTCAGAGTGTCATGGTGATATGATTAAAGGCTCAAGAAGAGAGGTTGAGAAACCACCATCCTCTATGTCTAAGGTGTGCAAGACTGCAGCCAATGGCAAAAAGGACGAGGTGAGGCATTATAGAAAGAGGTTTGGAGTTGGACAATAGTGGCTTTGTGAGAGGTCTTCCTAGAGCTACTGCTCACAGAGACAGAAGACACATTTTTATTATTGTTAAGCAATCATAGCAGGAAGAGGAATTGAATGTTCTTGAACAAATGACTTGACTTGCAATTTCAGATGTAAAGAAAGTTGTTTGTATTCTTGCCAATGATAGAAGGCTGATTGTGTCTACACACAGGTTCTGACTGCACATAACATTCAGAATAATAGGTGGATGTGTATTAGGGACATTAACTTGTGGCGTGTTGAATGGTGTTGGGAGCAAGGATTTGGCTTTGTTTCACATGGTAGCACTATTTGGTATAGAAATTAAAAGAGCACTATAGGGTCAGGAACACAAACATATATTTCTGACCCTATAGTGTTAAAATCACCATCTAGTCCCCCTGGCCCTCTCTTGCCTCCCTAAATATAGTAAAATCTTACTTGTATTCAGGTCTGAAGCTGTTGGCTCTGCCCCTGTCTGCCTCAGAATAGCAAGCAGCCTGCTGACATCATCAGAAGTGTTGTTCTGAGCCAATCACAATGCTTCCCCATAGGATTGGCTGAGACTGTGACGGAGGCAGATCAGGGGCAGAGCCAGCACAATTCAAACACAGCCTTGGGCAATCAGCATCTCCTCATAGAGATTAACTGAATCAATGAATCCCTATGAGGAAACTTCAGTGTCTGCATGCAGAGGGAGGAGATACTGATATGTTGTGATGCACACCAGGCAAAACTGAGATAGGAAGCAGCTCTAGCAGCCATCTGAGGAGTAGCCAGTGAAGTTATCACTAGGCTGTAATGTAAACACTGCAATTTCTCTGAAAAGACGGTGTTTACAGCAAAAAGCCTGAAGGGTATGATTCTGCTCACCAGAACAAATGCAACAAGCTGTAGGTGTTCTGGTGACTATAGTGTCCCTTTAACTGTACAAAAAAAGATGGTTTGCATCTTTCTCAAAAGGGAACAAATGTTGTGAGCAGTTCAGATGTATTGCTAGTAAGTATTTAAACTAGGAAAGAGGGAAGGGGTTGGGGACAAAGGGTAAACATCAATCCAATTGCCCCCCAAAACAAGGACAGAAAGTGCATGTAGCAAGTGTGTTAAAAAGTCATAGTTTAGGGAATAAGATCCATGAACTTGTGGCAATAATGGCAACTGAGAATGTAGATTTAGTGGCTGTTACAGAGACATGGTATAACTATCCAAGATTACTCTTTATATAGAAAAGACAGAGGAGGCAAGAAAAGGGAAGGAGTGGCCCTGTGTCAGTATTGGAGTATCCCCTACACACAGGGGGAAGGATACTAGCCAAAATTAAAGAAAGAAGAGTATACGTATACCGGACGGACCTTAGAATGGACAGACTAAATGTATGCCTAAAAAGTAAAGAAATCGTAGTAATAAAGGATGCCTAGGTCAAGGAATACAGAGGTACACAAGAACGAGAAAACAAGCCAAGGTGAAAGGGATACAAAGAGTCAGAATAGTCAAAATACAAAACCAGGTCAGCAACAGGAAAAACAGAATAATAATAAACGCACTCTCAGCCACGAGAGGTCAAGGATTCCCAGCAAGGGGGAACATATATAGGGCTAGAAAGAATACTATTGGACAACATCATTACTCTGCACCAGGACAAACACGGGGATGTGACCTGTGCAAGATGTCCAACAAATATGACATCTCTAAAAGGTGAATATAAAGTGTAACATCCACAGGGTCCTGTAATTTACAAGGACACCTGTAGGTGGCATGAGGTTGCAAGGGAAATCCAGCAACCTTGCATATAGTGCAGAGCTGTCTGCAGTCCCATGGAGAGAACGGAGCATGACCTCTGAGGTGGAGGTGTCCAGGAACACAGTGTTTAACCTAGTGAGAGCAGTGTTGGACCGGGATCTTTATGGCTGCTGACAGATATGACAGTACTCCTTCCCTTACACCGCCCCAATGGCGGGAACCACCGGGTTTACCAGGATGCACAGAATGAAAGAGGCGCTTCAAGTGAGGCGCATGGAGATCTGCAAAGCCCACCCAAGAATGCTCCTCAGGCCTATTCCAGTGGATCAGATACGGCAAACAACCCCTAGAGAAACAGGAATCCAGAATGCACTGAACTCTCATACTCCTCCTCCCCATGGACCAGAGACAGAGGAGGAGGAGGAGGAGGAGAACGAGGAGCAACGGTGAACCTATTACAAATCAGAGGCTTTAAAAGGGAAGTATGAAACACATTAGGTATACGAAGGTTGAAAGGCAAGTCAAGAGCGTAGGAGACAGGATTAAACCTGTGCAAGATCCTAAAAAAGCCAATATATCGAGGGGCCAATTTCATGTAGGGGACTTAGAGACGTTAGTTACTGGAGGACAACCAGACCCAGTCCCCAACCTAATAAGTGGGAGCAGCACGACTATGTTTGTCAGCCTGGACCTTGTAGGAAGAGGAGGACTTCTCTATCAAAGCCTTAACCCGTCCCCATAGAGTAGACAGACGTTGGTCCAGAACAGGCATCCCCATTTAAGAGAAAGAGTCAGGAAGGGCAGAAGGTTAATAACCAAGGTGGTGTAAAATGGACTGTGCCCCGAGGAATCATGAGTAGCATTGTTCCTGGCAAATTCAGCCCAAGGGAGCAAATCGGTCCAATTGTCTAGACTCTGGGAGACAAAACAAATATTTAGATGGACTGATTAGTACATTTGGCAGCACCATTGGACTGTGGATGGTAAGCGGAAGAGAAAGCCAGCTGAAAGCCCATCTCAGAACAAAACTTACACCAGAAACAGGGTATGAATTGACTACCATGATCAGACACTATTTGGGTAGGGATATCATGCAGTCTGATAACTTCTCTGGCAAAAACAATGGCTAATTCTGAGGAAGTATCTGTCTATTAGGGTTAATATAGAAATGTTCCCTTTAGAGGGAGGTAAGTCAACCACAAAATCCATGGATGTGTGTTACCACGGTCTATTCGGAATAGGCAACGGATGCAAGAGAACTATAGGCAATTGATGGGGTACTTTAGTTTGTGAACATATGGTGCAGGCCACAATGTAATCAGAAATGTCACTGTGACGGAACCGCTGGCACCTCGACCGGGTACCTTCCGCGGACTGATGCTCCTAGTGCTTTCTGAGGACTCCAAGCACTCTGCCCGACACCATAACCACTGCAGACCCCACGAACCGCCGCAGCTTGGTTGGGGTCTCGCTGTCTCCACCAACTCTGGATGCAAAGACCAGGGTCCAGCTTCCAGTAGGTCGAGCTCTCAGAATTCCAGAGAGCAGGAACAGGAACAAGCTCTTAGCAAAGCTTAGTGATTATATCCTGGGGAGTATAGTGATTATAGCAATCCCCACAGTGTAGTTCTCCAATCCCCCAAACATGAGCCGACACTTCATGAAGGTACAAGATGATCTGGCTTTAATTGGCACCAAAGGGCCTTCTTTTATGTAGGTTTTCCTTACATAGGACCATCCACAGGGTTTTACAGAACAACCAATAACACACGTACATTACAGAAAACACTCCCAGCAATTACACACAAAATCCTCCCCTCTGCCTGTGATATAATTATGGTACACAATGGTTAACATAATTATCACAGACAGGAAAAATACAGTTTTTATACATACACTGTAACTTTAAAAATATACGTCCAATCTTCATATAAAAAAAAAAATACATATATTCAGAATCAACACACTTTAAATATAAACACTCTCAAAAATCAGA